CGATTTTGTGGAAGCGCATCTTGCCTTTGTCTGGCCTGGGCAGCCTCTCTCCTGGGTATAAGGAGAGAAGTTAAGGGTCAAAGGTCATAAGACTTTGTCCCCCTCCCAAATCTCCCCTTTGTCTCTTTCCCCTTTGCCCCCAAGTCCCCTCCAGCTCTCTGCTGCCCGATTCCCCCAGCTCTCCGGATCCCCCGGGTCTAGGGCCCATTACACTGGTCTGCACTGCTCACCTGAAATGACCTCCAGGAGGAGCATGAGTTTGAGGCCATTGCGGAAATCTTCCTCGATGTTCTCAATCTGGGTGCCTGCCTTGCGCAGGTGTGAGTTACACCACGCAGTGAAGGTCTGGGGGCAGAGGACAGCACTCAGACCCTAGGACTGTGTCTGTGGGGATGTGGGGCACAGTCCTGGCTCCTTGGTCAGGGTAAATCTTAGCGCCTGAGGCTCTGGATTCAAGTCTCAGCTCAGCCACTGACTTGCTGTGCATCCTGGGCCAGTCCCTTTCCCTCTCTGAGCTCTAGTTCTCCTAGGGAGGGAGAAATGGGATTCAGGATCCGTGTACGTCCCAGTTTGGACTTGGGGCACTCTGCCACCAGCACGCCAACTTTGGCAGGTCTTCAGCACTGGAGGGAGACTTAGAAAATGTTAACACATCCCCAAATGTGGGGCTCTCAGGCGTAGGGGCTAGTGCAGAATGACACTGCCTTTCTAAAATTGGAAAATTCTGGATTAAAGCACATCTGGCCCTGAGGGTTTTACCTAAGGAACTGTGAACCTGTGTTATTATTCTCTCGGCCCCCCGACCTCCCAGGGCAGTTGTAAATTGGCCTCCGAGCAGACCTCGAGTGTGAAAGTGCCCTGCGGGCTGTAGAGGCCCAGCCTGACCTCATTTTGGGGAGTGACTGCTCCCCTCCTATCCCCAGAGTCAGCCTCAGCCTCAGCCTTCAGATGAGATGGGAGGGGTGGTACAGGGCTGTGTGTTTGTTGGGGATAGGGTGACCTGGGGCCCGGTGCACGAGTTTCTGCTAACCTACCAACCCTTCGGGCCCTAAGCTCTGCCAGTAGCTGTGAAGTCCTTGGTGGAGTCCATAGGTGGCCTCTAGTCCCAGCTGAGCTACTCACTCCGTGATCTCAGGGCAGCCCCTTGCCCTCTCTGGGGCTTGTTCTCCTGATCTGCACAGTTAAGGGGTCAGAATCCCTTAACTAATCCCACAGTTAAGGGACCTGTCTCAGGTCCTTTTTCCTCTGACCTGGCAGGATTCTAGAATTCAGAGCATTCCCCCAGCACAAAGTTGATACTCTTGGGAGGCAGCCCTGAAGGCCGTTTGGAATCCTTTCTCTCAGCCAGCTTTCCTTCCTCAGGCCGGCTTGCAGAGGCCCTCGGGTCTGGACATGGAAGATGATGCTTTAAATACTTGAGGGGCTGTCATTGCTAAGGAAAGGGAGTGAGCTTCCCATCCCTGGAGGCATGTAAGTGGGTACTGAGTACTACTTGTTGGGAACCTAAGCACTGGAGAGGGCAGTTGTATTTTCTGCAGTTCCTTCCAACCCTGAAGTCTGAGACCCTCTGGGTCTAGAAAGGACAGGGGGATGGGCAGGTCTGGGGGGGCAAACATGACTCAATGAGGTGTGGTCTCTGTCTTAAAGGAGCTCACAGTCAATTAAGTCATGTTGGTCTGAGAAGTGCTGGGAGCGACGGGGAAGGCTGACACGTGATGGAGCTGTGATGGAAGAGGAGGAGTTGTTCGGGGAGGGAAGGGCAGGCAAGGGCGTTGCAGGCAGGAGCAGCCACTCCGGCAAGAGCTCGGCAGTGAGGACCAGTTGCTAGTTTGTGGGACTCCAACTATCTGGGCACTGCTGGAATGAAGCTGGGGGTGTTGGGGTGTAAGTGGTGAGAGGCGGGCCGGAGGGGCGGCAGGGGCCAGGTCATGCTCGGTCTTGGGTGCTAAGCCTGGGACTTTGAACTTGATCCTGAGGGCACCAGGCAGTCAAGGAAGCCTCAGGCAGGAGGGGATGGGCAGAACTGTGTTGTAGAAAGTTCGTTCCTTGCAGAGTGGAGATGAATGGTGGGGCGGAGCAGAGGGGACCAGGCCAGAGAAGAAGAGGGTAGTGGGGACAAGGAGGGATCAGGTGGACGAGATAGAAACATTCGTCCTTTCTGGAATGTAAGCTCCCTGAAGCAGGGGCTTTACTGTCTCCTGAATCCCAGCACCTAAAACAGTGCTGGCACACAGTAGAACCTCCTTTTTTTTTTTTATCTATATTTTGGAGAGATAGGGTCTCACTGTGTTGCTCAGGCTGGTCTTGAACTCCCGGCCTAAAGCAATCCTCCCACCTCAGCCTCCCAAAGTGCTAGGATTACAGGCATGAGCCACTGCACCCAGCCAGTAAGACCTCCTTAAGGAATAGTTATTAAACGAATGCTTTTGTGAGGCTGAATGAAGAGGACTCGGGCGTCAGGTGGAGGAGGCACGAGTGCTCCAAGACTGTGTGAGGGAGGCCCTTGGAAGGAGGAGTCACTGGGGAAAAGGGAGCACCACAGAGCAGGGGCAGGGCAGGGCTATAGCTGTGCACAGGGCGTTTACCATCACCTTTTGTAAACGGTGCTGGACAAGAAAGAAATGGCCCAAATGTCCAACTACAGGGGAAGCTGACTGATCCACAGAGCGTCTGTGCCGCGCCACCACTGAACGAACGGATGAGACGGGTGGCTGCAAGTCGGGACGAAAGGATGTTCCTGATATTTTGCCAAGTGACAAAGGCCGGTCACAGACTGGCATGTGTCATATGAGGGGCATGCAGACCTGGATCTGGGAGAGGCCTGGGTGGGTGGGGGTGAGAATAGGAGTTATTGCAGAACAGGTGGCAGCTGCAGCCAGGGACAGGGATGACATCACCAGGAAACTGCCAAACCCAGGACCACAGCCGTGCTTGGAGACAGGTGCAGGAGGAGCCTGGGGGGAAGTGTGTCACCCAGGGCACCCCAGCAGAGTCACTCGAGCCTCCCGGTCCCTGGAGTCTTCTCTGTCATCTAACCTAGCGGGAGGGAAATGCTCCGATTCTAAATTCTGGGATTCTCAGATCCTGCAAATTTCACTGAGCACCCCAGAACCCTGCCCTTTCCTGGAGTCATACACTGTTGGCAAATGCTGAGGAGGGTCCAATGGCATCATGGTGCCCTCCCTAACCCTGGCCTGCCACTCTCCAAACTTTTCTCACTCTGCCCAGGATCATTTTCTCTTTGGGAACCCAGGTGTCCTTCCCCCTCCACTTGGGAAAGTCTGGGAGTGAAAATAGCTCGGGGAGGGAGGAGGCCTGAATGCCCAGCGGGCTGGGCCTGGGCAGCAGCTGCCCATGTGCCCCTCTCCAGCTCCCCCAAGGTGCTGCCTCAGCACGAAGTGCCCATCTGGCTGGAGAGTCAGGTTACTTTGTAAGGGGACCCAGAGCTCCCCTCCTCCCTGACCTGTGGCCTTTTCAGCAGACACAGGGCCCCTGGGACGAGGAGGGGTATCTTGGGAAAGAGTGGGTGTCGGACAAGAGACTAAGACCCTCAGGTTGGGGGGTCCTGTTTTCTGACAGTATATAATTTGGGGTCTATCTCTGCCCCTTTCTGGGCCTCAGTTTCCTCAACTGTCAAACGAGAGTGGACAGGACCCTGCCCTGGAGAGGATACAGAGGAGAGGGTGGGATGGGGTCTGAGATGGCCCCCTGTCCCCCACTCTCCCAAGTTCACTGGTTGCCTGGCTGCAAGCCCTCAGGGTGGCTTCTGGGAATATTTAACTAGAGAGCGGTGGGGAGAAAGATTATTCTTCCTGAACCCCCCCAAACTTGGATCTCCGGGCTTTGCCCAATTGTCACCAGCAGAAGTGGGAGGGACAGTGGGCCCAGGGGAATGAATCCGAGGCCAAGGGTTCATGCTAAACCCCTTGTCATTCTGGACCTCTCATGAGGGCTCCCAGCTCTCCTTCCAGCCTTGGGGGACAGCAGAGGGACGATGGGCAGAGCCTGGGCTGGGGACTGGCAATCTAGGTTTCAACAGGCTCTGCCCTTGACTGCTGAGATGCCCAGGACAAACTGCCTGGCTTCTCGGGCCTCAGTCTTGCTGTCAGGAAATGGGCGAGCACTCACTTTCCGCTGCTGCTTCTCCCAGGCCGGGTCCAGCAGCAGGTCGCGGTCCCAGTCTTCCTCCTGTTCCATGTACTCGCCGCCCCCGCCGCCGCCCATGAAGGGCCTCTCCCCGGCCCCCAGACCCTCGGGCTGCATAACCATCATCATCTTGCTCGGGATCCTGGCTCCGCTCCGCGGGCTCCTGGACACCCGGCCCGGTTAAGTAGGGCCTGGCCCAGCCCCGGATCGAATTCGCACTAAATATGGGGGAGGAGGGAGGGGCCGGACAGGGGCGAGGGAGCTTGAGTCGCGACCGAGCGAGAGTCCCTTGCCCTGGGGCCAGGGACTGCGGAATTGGGGGCTCTGGGGTAGACCCGTAGCGGGGAGCAAGGGTTCGCCTTCCGGCTCCGCCGCTGGGGCGCTGTGTGACCTTGGGACAACCACAGGCCCTCTCTGAGTCTGTTTCCCTCTCCGTACAATGGAGACGACGATGACAAGAGTGGCCGCGGCCGCCCCGAGGCTGCGCTTCGGCTCTCCCGACCCTGTTCCAGCGCCCCGTCCCCATTTCACAGTCAGAAGCACGGGGGCGCCGCGCTGTGCTGCGTGGTTTCTGGGGTGACGAAGGGAGACACCGAAGCATGGGCGCGGCTCTGAGCCAGCTGGATGGGCCGGAGCCGGGCTATAAATACCGGGGCGGCCGGGCAGGGTCTGGGGAGAATGTGCTGAGCCGGGAACCCCGACGCCACCGCGGCTGCAACTAGATCCTCCGCGCGCGCCGGCCAGCGGCCCCGGCGGGCGGGGCTTCGGCGCGAGGGGCGGGGCCTCGCCTGGTGGGCGGGGCCACACCTGAGTTGCGTCACCGGCTCCATAGCCAATGGCGTTCCAAGGCCGTCCAATCACCTCTCCGCATCTGCGGCCGCTGCCCTGGAGTCTGAGCGCTCTCCGCACCCCTCCAGAGCTCCTATTGGCCGTGGCAGACGTCCGTCGGCCGCTATCCCCGCCCCAACGCGGAAGCGGCGGGGTCCCGGGGTTCCGACAGCCGGTGCGTCCAGGCCATGGGGCAGCCCTGGGCGGCCGGGGTCGCGGAGGGGGCGCCCGCGCGGCTGCCTCTCGTGCTCACGGCGCTGTGGGCCGCGGCCGTGGGCCTGGAGCTGGCTTACGTGCTGGTGCTGGGTCCCGGGCCGCCCCCGCTGGGACCCCTGGCCCGGGCCTTGCAGCTCGCGCTGGCCGCCTTCCAGCTGCTTAACCTGCTGGGCAACGTGGGGCTCTTCCTGCGCTCGGATCCCAGCATCCGGGGCGTGATGCTGGCCGGCCGCGGCCTGGGCCAGGGCTGGGCGTGAGTGGGGCGCGGGATCCGGCGGGGAGAAGCGGGCGCCTCGGACAGGGGCAGGGGCCTCGGGACCTGCGATGTTGGAACCGGGCTATATTAGGGTCCGGGTTGTTAGAGCCAGAAATTCCTTTAGAACTTGGGATGGGGAATGAATATTATTTATTCCCTCGCAGATACTTACCAAGCACCTACTATGTGCAAGGTACTGTTTCAGGCACTGGGGGTACAATGAAACAGATTCCTGGCCTGGAGCCGATTTCAGTGGGGGATGGGGAAGGTGATAAACTAGAGGGATAATAAGCAAATTATATAGAATGTTAGAAGGTGATAGTGGTGAGGAAACAAAAAGTAGAGCAGGGCACTTGGGGGTGCAATTTTCAGTTTTAAATAGGTGGTTAATTCTCATCTCAAAAAATGATGAGTATTTGAGGCAATGGATATGTTAATTAACTTGATTTAATTATTTCACATGGTATTCATAAGTTATATCATTTTATACCCTATAAATATATACAACTATAATTTGTCAATTTATAATTAAAAAGTAAAAAGTAAGCCAGGCGTGTTGGTGCAGGGCTGTAGTCCCCGAGACTCTGGAGGATCACCAGAGCCCCGGAGTCGGTGGCTGCAGTGTGCTGTGATCCGGGCTGTGCTGCAACATAGCTGCTGCAACATAGAATTCATCTCTAAAAAAAGTTTTTAAAAAACAAATTAATTTAAAAAATAATTTAAAAAATAGGTGGACCTCAGTGAGAAGGAGGCATTTGAGCAAAAACTTGGAGGAGGTGGGGAAGCTAGCCATGTGGGAATCCGAGGGAAAAGTGTTCCAGACAGAGGGAACAGCTGATGCAAAGGCTCTGAGGCACTCGTGTGCCTAGCATGTTCCTGGAACAGCAAGAAGACCAGTGTGGCTGGAGTGGAGTGAGAGAGGGGAAGAGATGTCAGCGACATAAGGCCCTTATAGGGCATTGAGGGCTTTGCTTTTTGCTAGAAACGAAATGGAGATCCACTGGAGGGTTTTGGGCAGAGAAGGGTCATGAATTAGGGTTTGAAAGGATCCGTCTGGCTGCTGGGGTGGGACTAGGGGCCAAAGGTGGAATGGGAGACCAGTCCAGAGGGTACTGCAGTAATCCAGTGGGGAGGTCATGGTGACCGACTGTGACAAGGTGGTGACTGTGGAGCCAGGGAGATGTTTGCTGCTGGATGTTAGCAGCCACAGGGAATGTTAGAGCTGGAAGAGCCCTGGGCCCTGCAGTGCTACAGCCGGAAGGGCCTGGGACCTTCAGCCGGCTTTACCTGTGACGGACCTGAAGGGGCTGCCCCTGGGCATGGTATGGGGCACTCTGAACTGCTGAGGGAACTGATCCTGTGGTTCCTTCCTGCAGTTACTGCTACCAGTGCCAAAGCCAGGTGCCGCCACGCAGTGGGCACTGCTCTGCCTGCCGAGTCTGCGTCCTGCGTCGGGACCACCACTGCCGCCTGCTGGGCCGCTGCGTGGGCTTCGGCAACTACCGGCCTTTCCTGTGCCTGCTGCTTCATGCCGCTGGCGTCCTGCTCCACGTCTCTGTGCTGCTGGGCCCGGCCCTGTCAGCCCTGCTGCGAGCCCACACGCCCCTCCACACCGCTGCCCTCCTCCTGCTTCCCTGGCTCATGCTGCTCACAGGTGGGGAGCTCGGGAGGCCTCGTGTTGGGTCGGGGAATGAGGCCTGTTCTGGTGGGAGATGAGATTTCTGGCTCTGGGGACCCAGTCCCAGTGTCATTTATGGGGGTGAGGACAGCCTGGAATTCAGCTGGGCATGCTGCACGGTAAAATACGGCGCCTCCAGAAGGTGCAGGGCTCCTGCGGCTGGGAGAATTGGGAAGGACTTCAGGAGTGGTTGGCAGGGGAGGAAAGAGTCATTGGAGTCCGCGTGGGTGGCGGGCTGGTGGGAGAGCACTGGGGGGGGGCATTCTAAGTGAGGGAAACAGCATGGAAAAAGGCTTGGAGGCTGGCAGGGAGCAGCGAAGGCAGTTTGGTGGGAGTTATGAAAATTAAAGCTAGGGTGGTGGGTAGCGCTGGCTGGTGGAGGCCCTGAGTGCTGGGGGAGGAGACGGGCCTACTTGACCAGGCAGTGGGGAGCCAGGGAAACTGACAGGCAGGGAAGGCCCCGTCACTGGGAGCTGGGAGGGGACTTGGATCAGGAGGCTGATCGAGATCTGTGTTCCGGACACACATATGTTCCTCTTTCCTCCAGCGTGAGCCCGGATAAAAGCCCCACTGGTCCTTCGTATTCTGTGTTCTCTCCCCACGATGCTCTGGGCCTTCTTGCCCCTGACTCCTTCCTCCTGACCCTTCTGCGGTCCCCTCTGTGACTTTTTTCTGCTGTCATTAACCTCCCCAGCCACTCCGCATGGTCACTGTTCTTCCTCATCCTGTCCAAGCCGAGCTCTGTCCCAAGGACCCCCACCCTGCAGCCCAGGGGAGGCCTCGGGGTGGACAGAGCCCCCTCTGTCCACACTGGCTCCCTGACCAGCCCTCTCCACCCTGCTCAATGGCTCCTGTCTCCACCAAATCCCAGCCTCCAGCTGCACCTGCCTCCACCCCAGGTCCCTGTGGTCATCATGGCATCCCACTCACTCCCATGGAGACTTGGGCCCCAGCTGCCAGGCTCTCCTTCCGCCCTGGGCCCTGTTGAAATCACGGGTGTCCGAGGGTCTGTGTGAACGGCCCCGTCAATGCCTGGGTGGCTCAGCTCTTGACCTTCTTCCCCATTTTACTTCCTTCCCTTACTCGCTTGTCTATACCCTAGCCTTTGTTGGAATCCAAAAATGGGCCACCCCAAAAGCACCCATCATTTGGCCCTTTCTGTCCCTTACCTCGTCCCCTGCCCGCCCCTCACTCCTGCGCTCCATGACGCCTGCTCCATGGGCTCTGGGCCTGCAGGCTCGCGGCCCTCACCTCCCACCCACACCCTCCACCCTCGCCACCCCACGTCCAGCACAGGGCCCTTTGTCTCCACCACCTCCTGCCAGCCTCTCAGACTTCCCTGACTTCTGTGTCTGCCCCTGGCTGCCGAGAGCGGCCGGAGACACGTGGTACTCCCAGGCAGGTTGGTCCCATGCCCCGCTCATGGCTGCTGACCTCTGCAGGCCCTCCGCTGGGCCTGGCCACCTGTTTTCTTGGAAGCTTGCTTCCCCAACGACTGCAGCTCAAATCTTCCCTACTCTCCTACCCTCCAACCTCCATCATGGAGAAAACAAGAGGTCAGATGGTGCATCCAAATTCGTTCTGTCCTCACATCTCCAAGCCTGGCTGACTGCCCAGCGTCCCGTGTCTGGGCCTCCTCCTGGCTTGGAGGCCTCCACTGTGGTGTCTGCTCTTCTCCTGGCCCCAGCTCCACTATGGGCTTCCTTGCCTTGTACAGACCTCCCTTCCCTCACACCGTCCTCCAGCTCTCACCCGCTGGCCCTGCGCCTCCCACGGGACTTGCGCGGCTTGGCTGCTCAGCCCTGCGCCTGCCGCCGCCTGGCTCCTGCCCACCCTCACCCCGGCCCGCCGCGGCACCCAGCACCGTCTCCACAGACTCCCTCTGAAGGACCTTTTGAGTTCTTGCTTCATGAGGGCTTTTACACTGCCGCCCCCCAACCTCCATGAGGTGTCCTACCCTACCCCTGGCGTCACTGACGTAAGTGTGCTCCTGTCACTGATGTAGGTGTGCCTGCTGCCTTTTCCTGTTTCCTTTTCTGTTCTTTTATCTGATCTCTGACAAAAATCAGGACCCGATTTCCTGGTCCTCAGGTCCAGGCACCGTTCTCATCTCATCCCCACACTCTGGCTGCCCGGAGACCCACTGCTCGCAGACCTGTGGGTGCAGCCTGGGCCTGTCCCCTGAGCTTCCGGACCCGCATGCCGTCCACGCCCTTGTGTCGCAGGTGCCCCTCCGGATGTCAAACAGAACGTTTTCTCACTTCATCAAAATAGATGAGGCCACTTTCCCTACCGTCTTAAGTTTGCATGGCATTTCCCCCCATAGGCTCTCTTTCTTATTGAGATGAAATTCATATAATGTAAAAGTCACCATTTTAACTATTTTAAAGTGTATATTTCAGTGGCTTTTAGTAAACTCACCATGTAGTGCAACCATCACCCTTTTCTAATTCCGAACATTTTCACCCTAAAAAGAAACCCTGTATCCATTTGCAATCACTCCTGATCCTTCCCTAATCCCTCCAGCCCCTGGCAACCACTAATCTACTTCATTCTCTAGGGATTTGCTTGTTCAGGACATTTCATATAAGTGGGTGTGTCTGGCTTCTGTCACTTAGCATAATGTTCCCAGCATCTTATAGTTCATTAGTTCAGCGGGTACTTGCTGCCTACTGTGGGCCAAGATGGTACAAGATGCCATGCTTCTCCATGGTGACACACATCACAGCTGTAACTGAGTGAGACATGAGCTTTTTAATTTTAGTCTGTGAGCTTCCTGAGGGCAGAGGTGCCACCGACCCCATTCGTCCTGGTATTCACGGCGCCCAGCCCCGCGGCCAGCACTTACCAGGTGCTCGCCAAGTGTGTGATGCGAGAATGAAGTGGCATGCCAGGCAGGGGCTGTGTCGGGCGGGGTCACTGCTGCGCTCCTGTCACCCAGTTCGGGCTGGCCACCAAGTATTGACTCGGGGTTTGCTGAGCGGAGGAATGAGCCTTGCTTTGTGATGGAGGGTGCTGGGTGGAAGGAGGGCGGGAGCTGGGCTTTGGAAGGGCCGGGACTGACTGCTGCCACCTGACCCTCTCTGCTCTCTCCTCACAGGCAGAGTGTCTCTGGCACAGTTCGCCCTGGCCTTCGTGACGGACACGTGTGTGGCGGGCGCGCTGCTGTGTGGGGCTGGGCTGCTCTTCCACGGGACGCTGCTGCTGCGGGGCCAGACCACGTGGGAGTGGGCTCGGGGCCAGCACTCTTATGACCTGGGCCCCTGCCACAACCTGCAGGCAGCCCTGGGGCCCCGCTGGGTCCTCGTGTGGCTCTGGCCCTTCCTGGCCTCCCCACTGCCTGGGGATGGCATCACTTTCCAAACCAAAGCTGATGTGGCCTCCTGACTCCAGGAAGAGCCAGAACTGTACAGGGAGGAGGGCCGAGGGGGAGGGGGCCCCACCCCGAGGCTCAGGAGGGCAGTCGGTTGGCCTGTAATGGCTGCATTGCACCTCCAGCCCCTCCCTTGGCCTCACCTCTGCCCGGCTTGGACTCCTGTGTGTTCGGGGCTTAGGCCCTGCGACTCTGCCTCTTTTGGCTGAAGAGTGCAGAGGTGTGTGGCAAGGCTGCTCTGCCAGCCTTGCTTCCCCTTTGCCAGGTTAATAAAGTGCGCACTCGGTCCCCCCGCCTCCATCTTTGCAGGGTTTCTAGCCCCTCACTTTGTTGCTGGCGCTGCTGTTTCTGGTTCCTCTGGTTGTCAGGCCTAGGAACCCCAGAACAGCCGAGGGTCTGAGGGGCCAGGTGGGGGTGTCCTTGTGACCCAGGCCATGGGAATCCAATGTTCTTTCCCAGGTGCAGCATTTTATAGTTAGAAGCATTTCTGCAACGGCAGTGTCAGACCCTTTCTTAGCTAACCTACTATAATTATGCCCCTTATTGTGTGAGTGAAAAACGTGAAGCTCTGAGAGTTGATAAGATCATGGTTTAGTAAATGGCAGAGCCAGGCAGGATTTGAACCCAGGTTTTTGTGCTTTCGCCTTCACCCCTGCACAGCTGAAGGAAGTGGGTAGGGAGAAAGCCAAGGCTAGGAAATGCGCTGGGGACGTCTAGGCATCTGCCAAGGGCTGTGTGGGCTTCGAGGAGCTACTTGTTAAACATTTGTATGTAAATACAGTAAATAGAGAAACTGCCAGTTAACGCCTTCTCTAGTTCTCTTAGGATCTCACTAAAATGATAGTAAAGAAATAAGAAATATAAGTACTTACAAGGGGAAAGAAAACAGGAGAGGAGACAGCAGTAGACCAAAGTGCCTGACAACGTTTGGAGAGATGGAAAGTGGATGGAGGCTTATCTACTCTCTTAGCAGGGCGTTACAAGTTGAACTTGTGCGTTTCCAAAGCCGGGGCCGAGAGGCAAGCAGACTGCTCCCCCAAACCCTGGAGAGGCTGAGGAATCCCAGCACCACGGAAGGCGAGGTGAGGCTCCCGGCCAACAGCGTGGACCAGTGGGACGTCTGTATACGGAGCAGGAGATGTGCCCCCCCTCTAGGCCCACCCTAGTCCGCAGCCCAGCAGCTCCCCCCTGGGGCGGGGCTGGGGTTACTGAAGGAGAGGCTGAACCAGAGGCGCTCTGGGTCTCAGGCACTGGGGAGGTAGGGGTGAGGGGCTGGACCAAAAATGGGGTTAGATGAAAGTCCCCAGATACTGCTGGGGTATCCTCCCATGAACTGGCAGGCTTGCCCCCCAGAGGAACCCATCCTCTGACAGGCTTTGCCATGGCCACGGATGTTGGAGCTTCTCGGTCGTTTGTCCGTCCAAAAGGCATGCTCTGTTACTATTTTTAACAATAAGAACTTGGTGTGTGTGCCTGGCGCAGTGGGCTACACAGAAGCATTAGCAGACTCGTCCTCTTTCACACCTTACCCTGCCCTGCAGAAGATTGCATTTTCATTTTTTTTCTTTTTATTAGTGAGGAGATACAAAATAAAGAGAAACAGCATCCTCCACCCCCTTTGAGAAAATTACTATTTCCTTCAAGTTCCTGCTGTGCCCTCCTGGGTTGGGGGGGCTGCTGTCCTGTCAATCATTCCCTTGCTTTGTAGTTGTATTGCGTATGTTTGTATTGGTTTTGCATGTTTTTGAATTTTATATAAATGAAATCACACCGAGTTTGTTCTTCTCTGACTTGCCATTTCACTCAACACTGTTTCTGAGACGCATCCAAATGACCGCGTGCGCGCAGCTGCAAAGGGTTCCCTGCCCTGCTGTACAGCGACCTGTTGTATTTGCCACTATTGGTTTTTCTGTTTAGTTCCACTGCTCAGTATATTTACCTGTCTCCTTTGGGAAGCATCCACTAAGATCTGTTCTTGGCCTTTGCTGCTCCATGTAAATTTTAGAATCAGCTTGTCAGGCTCCACCAATAAAAATTCCTTTGAGATCACAAATGGAACTCAACTGAATCTATAGATCAGTTCGGATAAAATCAGCATCTACATAAAATTCAGTTCTCACAAACGTGGTGTATTTCTCCATTTAATGTTTTCAATAAAGTTATAAACTTTTTCTCATAAAGATGCCCTTTTTTATTAGATTGATTTTACGTATTTGATATTTTTATGCTATTCTACGTGGTCTATGAAAAGATTGTGTCCAGCAAACCTAAAACTCTTGTCTTTATCGTTTACTTGTGGAGCGCCCAGCTCCTACTGTAATTCTTATTAGACCTCCCTACTCCATCCTCCTTGTCACTCTCCCCATCCCCGCAAATTCTCAAGTACACTTTATTTTCTTAAAATAAGGCTGGATGTGGTGGCTCACGCCTATAATCTGAGCACTTTGGAAGGCCTAGGTGGATCACTTGAAGCCAGCAGTTCGACACCACCCTAAGCAAAGGCAAGACCCTGTCTCTACAACAAAAAATTAGCCAGGCATGGTGGCACATGCCTGTAGTCCCAGCTACTAGGGAAGCTGAGGCAGGAGGATCGCTTGAGCCCAGGAGGTTGAGGCTGCACTGAGCTATGATGATGCCACTGCACTCCAGCCTGGGCAACAGAGTGAGACCCTGTCTCAGAAAAACAAACAAGTGCTCTCCTCTTTCTCTCTTAATAATTCATATTTTCTGTTTCTGGACATTTTGGATAATTTCTACAGATATAGCAGTTAAGTTTTCTTTAGCTGTTGAAGTAATCTAGTGAGCTTTATTTATTTATTTATTTATTTTGAGACAGAGTCTCGCTTTGTTGCCCAGGCTAGAGTGAGTGCCATGGCATCAGCCTCGCTCACAGCAACCTCAAACTAACTCCTGGGCTCAAGCAATCCTCCTGCCTCAGCCTCCCGAGTAGCTGGGACTACAGGCATGCGCCACCATGCCCGGCTAATTTTTTTTTTCTATATATATGTTAGTTGGCCAATTAATATGTTTCTATTTATAGTAGAGACGGGGTCTCGCTCTTGCTCAGGGTGGTTTCGAACTCCTGACCTTGAGCAATCCGCCCGCCTCGGCCTCCCAGAATGCTAGGATTACAGGCGTGAGCCACCGCGCCCAGCCTAGTGAGCTTTTTTTAAAGTGGTTGTACCAACTCATCCACTGAGTTTTACATGTCAAATATTTTACTTTTTGATTCTGGAAGTTCAATTTTTTTTGTCAAATCAGCTTGATTATTTTATAAAAGTCTTGTTCTCATATTTTAAGTTTCTTCTTTTTTTCCTTAAATATATTGAAAATATTAATATTTTACACTCTGTGTTTGGTAATTCCAATATTTTAAGTATTTCTGCAAGCTATTGTTTATGTTGGTTCCTGGTCTTATTTTTTTTCCTACATGCTCAGAGAAACTTCTCTAGTAACAAACTATAGAAATGGTCACCGAAAGTATTATCTTATGATGTCTTATTTTCTTGCAGTTTGTTTTGATGGTGAGTTCATATTTCTTGGAATTTTCTCAATGAAAATTTTTTGAGGTTGGATTAGAAGTAAATTCCTCCAAAGAGGAAATGTATTTGTTAGTTGTCTGATGACAGACCAATCCTACACCACTTTAAAATTCTAGCTAGGAGGTCTTTAGGACTACTCGGATATTGCCAATTCAGGTGCAGACACTTAATCAGGGATGGCTTGTGGTTAAAAATTCCCAGGAGAGCTTTTTACCCCTTCACTTAGCATTATGCTTGGAGACGGGCATTTCCCTGTGGTTCTGGTAAGATGGAAAGTGGGGGTGGTTTATTTCCAGTGTGCCTTCACAATGGCACATAAGCTCTTTGCAGCCCGTGTTATCCACCTTGGAGGTAAAAAAATGGAAAACTGAAACTTGGGAAACAGTGGTAAAGATAAAACATAATAGATAGTCTTAAATAAGGTAATGCATCTGTGAAAAATACCATGCCATGAGGACTGAACAGAGAACAAAGAGTTGAGAATTAAAATAACAGAAAATTTTTAAAAAATTCGGAAGAGCTAAAAGAATAAAACTCTCCCAGAATACAGAACAAAGATGATATGCGAAGACAGAAGACAGTCAGGCTCAGTCCCATTCTCTCAGGAAGTGCCATTTATCAGATGCCGGGTTTAACTGGAGATCCAGAAAGAACAGAGAAACAGAGGGAGAAAATCACCCAAGAAACAATACTGATACAATTTCTTGGAACTGAAGGATGCACACTCCACCCACAGCACAGCACAGCGAATAACGACACACAGTAAGGCATGTCGTGACATTCGGAAACTTTGAGAGAAAAAGGAATAAGAATGGCATGGAATTTCTCAACAGCATTACTCAAAGTTAGAAGACAAGGGAGCACTGCCTGCCAGAAAACTATTTTCAACTTCCAATTTTATGACCCAGCCAACTATCACATGTATGTGAATTGAATAAAGAAATATTCAGGTGAAGTAGGAGGATCGCTTGAGGCTAGGAGTTCAAGACCAGCCTGGGCAACATAGTGAAACTCTGTCTCTACAAAGAATTTTTTAAAAACTAGCTGGGTGTGGTGGTGCACACCTGTAGTATCATTTACTCGGGAGGCTGGGGCAGGAGGATTGGTTGAGCTCAGGAGTTGGAGGCTGCAGTGAGCTATACACTAATCTTTTTACATCTAATGATTTTTTTAAAAAGGTACTTGTGGATGTGTTTCACCAAAGGAGGGTGCACTAAGAAAGAGGAAGACACGGGTCCCAGGAATCAGGGGACCTAGCTCAGGGGAGCGGCAAAAGGAATTCTGGAGAATACAGGGTCTTCATGAAGCAGGGGATGAGGGACGTGTCCAGAAAAAAAGAGGAACTGTCAGACTGGGTGGGGAATGAATCAGCAATTGGCATATTAGAAAACCAAACAAATGAAAAAATCAGAGCAATTATTAACTCCATGAAAAATAACGTACAAAGGAGGTAATTTAATTGTAGCCCAATTCTTGGCTCTGCAGTGACTAGCCTTCACACAGTAATACAAATAACAATCTAAACAATGAGTATAGATTTACCTAAAACCTGGGGATGGGGGAGGGGTGCTGTCACAGAGAGCTAAAGCCTCATCTGTTACCATAGGGAGCCAACAGATAATGTCTGAGACTGATAAGTCTAGCAAGAGCAGTGCAAGCCAATTTCAAAAATAAATAGCTAAAAGAACTGAAAGTGACTATTGCAGGGGAGCAGAATAGGGAATGAGAGGCTGTTTTCCTGTTATAAACTGTCTAATTCCACATTATTTACTAGGTGCATATTTTTAAGTACTTTTTTAAAAGATCCCAACTCTCCTTATCGCTAATGTACACGATTTCCTGGCGCTGTCTCTGGTGTGTGCACTGGGTACCCTGCACCGTTACTTGCTTCTTGTGGCCGTATGTGCTGTCCACATGGCGCAGGCCTTGCATGTCTTACTAACAGCTACATGGTATAACACGCAAACTTACAACAGGTCCTGGGCGTGGTCCCCCCTCTCATCATCATGAATAGCCATGAAGGGAACACAGATCAGACTTTTTGTTCTCAGTTAATGCAGTTCATAGCTTGACTGGGGTGAAGGGACTGTAATGTCATGTGGCCTAACCCACGACCCTGCCCCCACTCGTACAGCTCCAGTGACAAGATGCCCATCACCTTCTAGGGCAGGCCCTTCCATCTCCAAGTTCTCCAGGCCACGCTGCAGTCCCTGACTGGCAGCACCCTCCTTCCGCCCTCGCCTTTCTGTGCCCAGGTTGTAACTCCTGCCTGTTCCAGCCACACCTCAGCCGGCTCGGTCTGCAAACCCTCTGCCGTCCCGACCCCGCTGGTCTGTGTCTGCAAGTGGCTGGGAGGGCAGAGAGGAGGGGGACAGCCTCTTTCTTTGATCCCAATCCCTTGCTGCTTTTAACCTGGCCGCAGATACATCCCTTGGGAGGGACAGAGGTGGGCTGTGGGCTGTCACCCTAAGCCTTGTGTCTTGGGCACACAGGCTGCTGCTGGCAGTGGCAGTCAAAATCCCTGCACTTGCTTTCATCAAGCACTCCCTCTCTGGAGCAACTCCTCGACCCTGCAGAGGGGCTGCCATGAGCACAGGGTGTCAGGACTGAAAGGGTTTAAGAAACAATCTGGCCGAACTGCCTTATTTTTCATGTGGGAAAACTGATGCCCAGAGGGACTTGGTTACTTCCCAAAGGCTGAGCTCTGGGACACACTCTAGGCCACATCTGATCCGACAGAGGAAGATGTAGGTCCTCTGGGAGCAGGGCTCCTGGCTCACAAGTAGCTCAAGGTGGCCTGTGGGGAGGGCCAGGCAGACTGGCCTGGGGCTCAAGAGGCATCAAGTACTGTGGGTCTTGGTCCTTGTGGGCTAAACTCGTGCCTTCATTCAGTCCTTAACTTCATGCCATGCCTCTGGTCTGTGCCTTTCCAGCTAATTCTCTCACAGCGTGGTTACTACACAGTGAACTTTCCACCCACGTGGCTGATTTGGGCACCAGGGCCTCTTGATTGGCAGTTCTGGGCTTCCTCAAGTCACCTCCCCATGGCCCCAGAAATGTCTCTCCTGGGTGCCCCTGGTGCCCCCTCTGTTCCCTGTCCAGTGTAGCCTTCCTCTCCCAGGGCGCTCATTCTGGGCATGAGCATTCAAGTCAGCGGCAGCTGCCGTGTGGTCCTTAGGGGCTCTAGCGGGGGCTGGAGCCACTCGCTCCCCGAAGGGACACCCTCTGCCTTTCTGTGCCACCTCCTCCCTTGGCAACCTTTGTGGAGCATCATGGCCTGAGACTGGTTGAGTCCCCAAGGCTTCAGAGAAGTCCCCTGTGGGGAGGCAGCCATTCCCTGGGCCTGCTGAGTGGAAAGAAGAGCCCCTCGCTCAGCAGGGAGGGGAGATCAGAGCATGTGTTTTGCCTGCGGCTGAGTCTCTGGAGCTTCAAGGAGCAGGAGGCAGCTCAGTCTCACCCTAGAAGAGCCTCTCATTTCCCAGGTTGGGCCCTGGCCCAATTTTGGCCTTGACCTGCAGCTGAAGATGAGTAATTTGCCTATGGGAAGTAGCAAAGGAGAAGGGCCAGGCCTGTCCTGAACTCACTTTGACCCTTCAGAGCTCTTCCTTGGAGCCTGGGTGTGGTTTCTGGAAAAAGCCCAGGAGGGTTGAGGGGCAGCAGGAGCTCAGCAGGACAGATGATGCCTGGGCTGTTCCTGAGGGAGGAGGAGCTGAACCTCCCGGGCACTCACGGGCCTACTGCCACAGGCCCAGCGTGGGCACAGCGGAAAGGGGGTGCTCAGGACAGAGCAGGGAGCTGTTGCCTCCACACATTGCTGCGAGAGGAGCTGGCCAGGGCGCTGAACCTGCACAGTTCAGAGGAAGTCGCCGGACCTTCCTGGCTCTACTGGGGACTCAGGCAGCTGCCAGCCCCTCACTCACGGGCATGTTGATGTGGGCACTCAGCAGGGGCGCGCTCTGGCCTTCTCGGAGCACCAGCACCTATGAAGCAGTGTTCATGGCAGCAGGGGGCATGCACCTTTGACCCCTGCCTGGTCTGTGCTGGCCCTAATGACAGGCCACCAGGGCTCTACTGTGCAGATACCCACCACCCCACCAGCAGCTCCCCACTGGTCTTGTCCATGCTCACCCCACTGTCCTCCCCAGGGTCCTGCCTGCCCTCCAAGTCATACCAATGCGGGACCTACCTTGATAATGTCTGAGATGCCCTTGTCACTGAGACTCTCCACAAAGGTCTCCAGGGGGTAGTTGAGTCCTGGCACCAGCAAAGGGACCTAAGTTTGGAGACACAGAAGTAAGAAACCAGCCCACATACTGGACAGTGTTTGGTACATTCTAAAGTGCAGTTGGCCCGCAGCCCCCGAGTCTCTGCAGCCCCGCAGGGTGGGCAGGTGACCGCTGGGCCCAGAAGGGCACAGGTACAGTGGGGGATGTAAGTGCTCCAGGGCCGAGTGGCATGTGATTACTCCTAGACCTCTGCAATCCTACCAAGCCCAGGGCTAATTATTTCACATCCGGAGTCTTTCTTAGTTTTGTGCCCTCCTAACTTGAGGTCAAATCTGGGCCCTGGGGGAAACCAGGTCCTTCCCTCTGCGGGCAGTACCCTCTGGGGCAGAGAGAGGCTCCTGTTCCAGGAGTGGCTGGGAAGCGGGGTGGGCTCTGGGATGCCCCCACCCCCCAATCCCCAACAGGCTTTACAGAGGTATAGGTGGGACCTAGGCTCTGGCTGTTTTCGCAGCACCTTCTGTGTGGCTCCGTGGCCTCTCACAGGTTGGGAGGAAAGCAGTGGAGGCAGGTCTTGGGTGCTCCCTCCAGATACCCCTACTGGGGCCTTAGCCTGCTTGTGGTGGGACAGCTGTCCTGCTGCTACCTGCCCACTCGCTCACCTTGACCTGGTGGGGGCTCTGTGGGCATCTAAGCAGGCCCCTGCCCTGCCTTTTCCACTTCTAGTCCTACTGAGGGCCCAGTACCTTGAAGAAGGCCTGGGGCAGGGCATAGAGCGCCTCGTTGTACAGGAAGCAGATCAGCAGCCCCAGGGCGGGCCGAGCTGTGGAGGGGTTCTGCAGGTGAAGCGTGAGCTTAAAGATGGGGCCCAGGCCCTGGACCTGTGGAGGAGGTGGAGAAAGCCCTCAGGACCTAGTGGCCTTGGGCTCTGCCTGCCTCCTCTCTAGTGCCCTCAGGTCCCCTCCTCCTACTGCATCTGTTCCTCAAAATGTACAGAATCCCAGAAGACCCACAGGGGCCAACAGAGGCCCAGGGAGGGCAAAGGGCTCGATGGAGGCCCTGCATCAAGTCGGAGGCAGAGCTGGCCTGGGACTGCAGCTCCCAACTCCCACCTGTGCGCTCACGGCTGCCCCTGTCCTGGTCCCACCTCCCACTCTCATACTATGGTGGCCTAGGTGATTTCATTTCCCTCCCTCTTACCCTGAGTGCTCTGTAGCCTCTTCCTCCTCTAAATCTTATCCACTCTCTTTAGCAAAAGAGAAACTGGAAACCCAAATGGATTAGATGACATACCTCAGGGACCCGTATAGAGCTGGTAGGAGCCCTGCTGACCTTAAGGTCACTTGTGCCTGAGTGTGTGTGGGCTCCTCCTCTCTCGTGCCTGTGCTCATTTCAAGATGCCCCAGGGGTCAGGCTGGGATGGCCCCTTTCCTCCACCAGGCAGCTGAGCACCTGGCGCTGCCTGTGGTTACTGATGTGAACCACTTTCCTCCCTGCACCGCACTACAGGATGCCTCCAGGCTTCCGGGAAGAAATGTCCCAAGGTGGCTACTGTGTCCTCACCCAAGTCTGGGAGCTTGTCTGAGGCCCAGTGCAGAACAGGTGAGCCTGAGAGCATGACTCCGCCATGGCCAGCTGGGGGAAGAGGCCACAGAGGAAGGCAAGGAGAGAGCAGCTCTCACAAAGGAGGGTGTGGGATTTGGTCCCGGGGTCTGTGGGACGGTGAGAAGGGAGCACAGGGCTGAGTTGGCTCTGGGGGCTTGGCTACATGGCAGAGGGGTTCCTGCCTACTCCTGGCCTCTGCCCCGCTGCCCCTACACCTGGGTGCTCACCACGGCGTGCAGCTTGAGCGGCTCCCGGGCTGTCATGGACATGGGGCTCAGACTGGACTCGAGGGCCTGCACGTAGGCGCGGGCGGTCCGCAGGCGCAGCAGGTAGAGGTCTGTCTGGAAGGCCCGGTGCATGGCTGGGGAGGAGGGACGCACAGGCTGACGGTGGAGTGGGGAAGGGGAGGCAAGGAGGCAGCAGTGTGGGGGAAGGGGTGTTCCTGCACAGGCTGTTGTGGGGAGGGTGTGAGATGGAGGCGTAGGGGGCAGGGTCTGCAGAGGCTGGGAGTGTAGGGAAAGGGAGGGCAGAGGGCCAACAGCCCAGCCTTCTGGTGACACTGGATGTTGCTGACCACTCCCTGCCTCCTTCCTGGTTTTCCTACCACCTCGCTGCCTGTTCCATCTATCTCCTTCCTTGGCTCCTGTTCGGCACCAGAGGCTGGTATTCCCAAGTGCTATCCTTGGTCCTCTTCTTGTCTGGCATCTTCTTCCCCTTGACAATCTATGTCCTGACACAGCTCTGACCATCCCAAAGAACACCTTCGAGCCCCTGAAGGCAGAGACCTTGTCTCTCCCGAGTCCTCAGTGCCCAGCTTGGGCTAGGCTTGTGTTTGATGTCCCCAGCAGCTCACTGGTGCCCGGGCCTGCCTCCTGCTCATCTCCATCCAGACATCCCTTTGGCACCTCAAGTTCAATGCCATGGAAACCAGCCTTCTTGTCCTGCCTCAGTCACTGCCTCCCTGTCCCTCAAGTCACCTAGGTTCACCCTTCAAGTCTAACCATCTGCCAGGATGATGACTCTTCCTCAAAGCCGCCTCCAGAGCCACCCCCACACCGTCCGTTGCGCCTCATTTCCAGGTAAGTCCTTGCTTAGCCAGCTGGCCGTGCGCTTTCACTTGGCTGTGAGGTGCCTTTTGGCATTCAGGAGTTTTACACCTTTATGTTATCTCACCTACTGACATTTCCTTTTTTCCTCTGGTACTTTTGCAATTGATTTTTAATCTACCCAGAATCAATTTTTATGTTTGGCATGTAGATTTTTTTTTCCTGGAAGCAAGTTGTCCTAATTGTGTTTTTTTGGATAGTCTCACCTTTCCCCACTAATTTCAATGACACCTTGAACACAGTCTGTCTTTCTGCATATTGAAGAGTCTGTTTCTGGACTTCCTGAACACGCCACTCATCTTGGGCTACTCATGTTTCTGCATCGGCATCATAGCTCCGTTCATTTTGCCGTCTGGTAGGGTAAGTCCCGCTCTTATACACAAGCTTATGATTGTTTAATATTTTACATCTGATCGCCTTACAAAACTCCTTAATTATTTTTTGGATTGTTTATCCATTATTTCTCTTAGATTTTCTGGGCCATGACAGCTTGCTAACTATTTTCTCTGACCTATCTATCCTTCTAATCTATCCTTCAAACTGAGATCAAAATCCCTTTGTAAGGCAGAACTGGCTGAGCTGCCGTATTTGCTGTTTACCATCTTTGCCAGCGCCCACTACCCAGACAACAGCCCCACTTCTCAGCCTTGCGTTCCAGCCCTGCTGGAGCTGGCTCTGACCTGCCTGCAGCTCCGCTGACAGAGGCTTGCTTGAATCTGGTCAGGGCCCTGTGACTCTACCCAGGCCTCTGCCTCCACTGCCCCTCCCTGCCACCACCACCCTGCCCCCGTCTGCTGGACTGATAATCATGTTTTAGGGTGAAGTCCAACGTCACCTTGCTCTGAAGCCTTTCCCAAGCTTCCCAGGCAGAGCTCCTTATTCTGCTGGTGTGCTCTAAGAGCTCTTTGCAGAATCCCTTTCTACGTCTGTCACACGACATGAAGTTGGCCAGGCAGACTGAACGCCTAAGGTAGGGACTAGCCTAATTCAAGGCACCTAGCACAAAGCCTGGCATCATCACAGATACTGAATGAACGAATGAATGAACAGATGAGCAGGAAAAATTGAACAAGAAGAAAACACTCGGTTAATTCCACTTTTCTCATGAAAACTCTTGTGTCTGGAAGTGACTGCTCCCTCCTCTGAATTCTAAGGGCTCTTGCCCTCACGCCCACCACCTTCCACCCTGAGGAATAGTTACTTACTACAGGCAGTGTGTACCTCCTAGGCTGTCCCTGGACTTAGAGGCACATGACCTGCTTAGCCGCTGTCTCTTCCCCCTGCCAAGGCAGCTGGGCTGCATTCGCCAGCTTTGCTGTGTGGGAGTAATGGCGGAGGAAGAAGAGGAAGGACCCAGTCTGAGTCTCACCGGTGCCAGCCTCCCGCTCTCGCAGCGTCTGATCCACATAAAGCCGGGTCTTTCGGGGCACATTCAGTTTCGTGGCCTGGGCTGGTGGGGGACCCACCTCACCTCCTGCCTCCACAAACACTGCTGTACGCTTCAGGATCTTGATGATCAGGCCACCGCCTAGGCAAGTGAACAGAGGGGAACAGGATAAACAGGTTTATCCTCCCCATATTCCCATTCTTTCGTCCCAAACAATTTGCCTATTTCTGTACATGTCCATCTTTCAGACAAGATTGTTTCTAGAAGGAATATGTCTTAATAGTGTGATTAATTGATTATTTATTAATTTATTTTTAGAGACAGGATCTTGCTCTGTCACCCAGGTTGGAGTGCAGTGGCACGATCACAGATCACTGTAACCTGGAACTCCTAGGCTTAAGCGATCCTCCCACCTTAGCTTCCTGAGTAGCTTGAACTACAGGTGCAAGCCACCAAGCCTGGATAATTTTTCTAGTTTTTATAGAGATGGGGTTTTGCAATGTTGCCCAGGCTGGTCTCAAACTCCTGGCCTCAAGTGATTCTCCTGCCTTGGCCTCCCAAATCACCGGGATTATAGGTGTGAGTCACCATGCCCAGCCTCCTAGCATTAATTAATTCATTCATTCAGCAGTTATAGATTGAGTACTGTGATGTTCCTGACACTGTGGCAGGCACTGGGGAGACTGGGTGAACTAGACAGATATAACTGGGCCCAGGGCCTGGGCCCAGGTGGAGACAGCAAACTGCTGCTGATGTCCACAGTGGAAGCCCAGCCTGCCAGGTTGCAGGCCTGTGGGCCTTGCTTCCACACCTAGGTGCGCCCATGCTCCATGCCCGCCTCCTCCTCGTTCCCTGTCCTTTCACTCCCAGCTCCACAGCCCTTGCCAGGCCCAACTCCCCTCACCTCGAGTAGTCATGATGAGGGTGTTTTCTTCCCGCCCATAGCGGCCAAAGCAAAGGCTGGTCACTGCGTCCTGTGTGGAGACATCAGAGTTTAGTTGGGGAAATAGCTTGGAGAGGAAAGCAGGACAGGAGATAAGGGTGGGGGAGATCCCAGATATAACAGAGGAGATGTGAGGAGGCCTGGGGGTGATGCTGCCTCTGCAATATTTCCTTTATTCCTCCCTCCCCTCCAACCTCACTGCCACGGCCATGGTTCCAGACTAAATATCACTGGCCCTCACTTTTGGGTTCAGCTTCCTAGCCTAGTCTTTCTCCCCAATCTGTCCTTCACAGTGCTGCCTCTGCTGCCTTTCTTTCTTTTTGGATTGGGTCTTGCTCTGTTGCCCCAGGTAGAGTACAGTGGCATTATCACAGCTCACAGCAACCTCAGACTCTTGGACTCAAGCGATCCTCCTGCCTCAGCCTCTGACCACAGGTGCATGCCACAAGCCTACTAATCTTTCTTTTAAAAATTATTTTGTAAGGCCGGGTGCGGTGGCTCACGCCTGTAATCCTAGCACTCTGGGAGGCCGAGGCGGGCGGATTGCTCAAGGTCAGGAGTTCAAAACCAGCCTGAGCAAGACCCCGTCTCTACCAAAATATAGAAATAAATTAATCGACTAACTAAAAATATATATGCAAAAAAAAAAAAATTAGCCGGGCATGGTGGCGCATGCCTGTAGTCCCAGCTACTAGGGAGGCTGAGGCAGTAGGATCGCTGAGCCCAGGAGATTGAGGTTGCTGTGAGCCAGGCTGACGCCACGGCACTCACTCTAGCCTGGGCAAAAAAAAAAAAAAAAATCCAAGGACAAGTCCTACAGTAATGAAAAAAAAAAATAAATAAATAAATAAATAAATAAAATTATTTTGTAGAGATGAGGTCCTGCTATGTTGCCCAGGCTGATCTCAAACTCCTGGGCTCAAATGATCCTCCTGCCTTGGCCAAGTAGCTGGACTACAGGTGCACTCTGCTGCCTTTCAAAACCACAGACATGTCTAGTCGCTGCTATCGCATCCTCACAGGCCTTCCTCCTGCTTGCCAGGACACTGATGGCCTCCCACGCTGGCTCCCACCTGTCTTTCTGTCAGCTCTCCCCTCTTGCCCTTCTCCCACCCTGTACACCACCTGTCCTCCCAAGACCTGTGGCCCAAGTCAGCGGCTTTCAAATGTTATATTGTGACTTGGGACAATTTACATATATACATTTACATATACACATACACATTTCACATGTGATATACTCTGACTTGTCTATTCTATTTTTTAAAATGTTGCTGCTGTGATCCACTAAATTGATTTAATGACTCACAACTTAAGAGTTTGAAAAATTCTGGTCCAAACTCATCCAACTACCTGGATTCTTTTATCAAGAACCTTCATGCCTCTCAGCCTTTGTTTATGCTGTTCCCTGTCTGGAATGTTCTTCCTCCATTTGTCCACTTGGCAAACTGTTTTGAGGCCCAGCTGTTTTGAGGCCCACTTTTTCTGTGAAATGTCCTGTGGGTTCCATCCGCGTTCATCTTACCGCCACCTAGGTCCCCCATCCCCCTCAGCCCCTCTGTGCTTTTCTAGCACTTTGCTGTGCTGCAGTCTGCCTTAGTTTTTAATTTGCTATGTCTCTGGCTGTCACCTTAAGCTCCCTGAAAACAAGGACTTAGTCATTATTCTGTCCCCCTCTCCCAGGGTTTCTGAAATCCCTCAGTGTGGGGCCAGGAGAAGCAGCTAAGATGCCCCAGAGGTGGGACCAGGGCAAGGAGGAGTCAGTGGCAGATGCAGAGATGGGGCTCACCGGGGCACGGATGATGTTGAGTAGGGCCTTGTCACGGTAAATGCGGACCTCTCCATTGGCCAGCCCAGCCATGACGGCCTGCAGGCCCCGGGAGCGCTGATCCAGGAGGTTCATGGTCAGGATGGCTGCGGGCATCTGCACTGTCCATAGCTTCTTCCCCTGGCAGGGAACAGCCGGTGTCTGTGGGGGCTTAGGGCTCAGAGGGGAAAGAGGGGTTGCCGGGAAGAGGAAGCCAGAAGGGCTCTCTGGCCCCTGGGCACTGGGGAGATAGGAGTGGGGGGCTGGTGCCTGCTGGAGCCACACCTTGTGAGTGAAGCCGTGTAGGCTGTCTTCAGTGCTGCCCACCACCAGGACCTTGTGTACCCGGACAAGCCCCACAGGCTGGGCGCTCAGCTCGATGCAGTACTTGGGGTGCTTGGAGTCTCTGTGGAATAAAGACACACTTGTCCAGCCCCAGAGAAACCCTCTCTCCACGTCCTTGGCTGACCCTCCTCTTTTTAAGCCCCACAGACTAACCTGGAAGGAAGTCCGGCCGCCAAGCAGATGACCCTGGGATTATGTCCACCTCTACCACTTAGCAGTGTGACCTTAGATACTATCAAGTGTGTTTTCCTACCTTGTCTCCCTCCCGCTTTCACTATGGTGGTCTGTGTGATAACCTGGCATTTAATAGTTTTCAGGGCCAGGCACAGTGTGGTTCACTCCTGTAATCCCAGCTACTTGGGAGGCTGAGGCAGGAGGATTGCCTTAGCCCAGGTGTTAGAGGCTGCAGCAAGCTATGATCAGGCCACTGTACTCCAGCCTGGGTGACAGGGCAAGACCTTGTCTCTTAAAAAAAACCCAAAACACGGTTTTCAGCGAGTTTACCTTAGAGCAGCCTAGCCAGTGCAAGTGGGCTTAGGCAGCTCACTAATTTATCAGAAAGGGATGAAGGCCTGCCCTGGGTAAGTGCACTGTTTTCAGTTTCCTGGCCTCTCAATCAGTTTCCGTCCTCCAGAAAGTGGGGGCTTCCTGCTCACCGACCCCAGGCTCGGCCCACTCTTCTCATCACCATCTGATGACTATGAGTCTCCCATGGGTCTCTGGGCTCTTTCCAATCTACGCTCTGTCCAGCAGAGTAAGCTTTGTAAAATGTCAGTGGATTGTATCATTCTTCTGATTAAAGCCCCATGATTTTCCACTGCACTTCAAGTAAGATCCAAAATCTTTGCCATGCCCTCCAGGTCCTACACAAGCAGACCCTGGTCTCAAGCTCGGCTCTTTCCACCCTCTTCCTTGCCCACCAAGCTCGAGTAGCACGTGCCAACGCCTTTCCCACCCTGAGGGTGCCTACAACACTCTTCTCCCACGTTTTGAACTTTTTGAACCGGCTCCTTTTTACCCTTAGAGCCACATCCTCAGACAGGTACTCCAGATCACCCTTACCCCACTATTTTTCCCATTAAGCCTGCATTCTTCCTCCATAGCACTCACCCACTTTGTAATAATATCTTATTGACTTTAATTTGTCTTCCCCATGAGGGCAGGGACTGCAGGGACTATATTTATTTTACTCACCAATACATCCCCAATACCTTGCACAGTGCTTAATGCATAGTAGGCGCTCAATAAATATTTCTTGAATTTAAAAAAAAGGAACATTATTCAGAATATCAAAGTAGTGCATAAGGAAGTGTCCTGTACACTGTAAGGTAATATAATAAATATGGGAGACTGTTTTATCTCCTATTTCTGACTGCGTTTTGCATGCACTACAGCCACCCAGCCTGGTCCCTCACTTTGCAAGCCCCCACCTCACAAGCCTCCAGATGTCCCCCTGTGCTCATGGGCTCAGCCTCCTTTATGAGTTCTCAGCTCTTCCCAGTCCCAAATCCAGAAGCAAAGCCCTTGCTCATCCTGCAAGCCCCTGACACCACCAGCTCTCTGAGCTGTTCCTTCTGGCCCCAGAGACCACGGATGTGGCTACCTTCTCAATATATAGATATTCCCGTTGCGGCAGGCAGCAGCAAGCCGGAACTCGACATCAAACTGGCCGGAAGCCTCCAGGAAGACGGGGACGCTGGGAAGGCTCATCTGCAAAGAAGAGGCTCAAATACCCTGATTTCTCTGGAGTCCCCGTCCCTCCCACTCCTGAAGTAACATCTATAAGTTAGTTTATTGTCTAAAGTCCCAATCTTATCACTCACACCCCATTGGTCACAGTACAAACTCGTGCAATTTTTCTGGGGGGAATCTCGGCAACGTGCAGCAAGAGCCTTTTAGTCTGTACCTTTGACTAAACTATGCCACTTCTAGGACTGCATCCTAAGGAAGTACTGAAACAAGCACACAAAGGCGTTTGGGCAAGGAATTCTACAGTGGTGGTGTTATTATAATAGTGGTAAAAAATGGAAAACAACTTGAACAACAATAGGAGACTGGGTAAATGAGTCATGGTACAACTATGTTATGGATATTGTATACCAAAACTTTAATAGGAGATATTGGTAGGTGGTGGGATATATATATATATATATACACACACACACATATACATATATCTTTATGTTTATCTACAGTTTCTAATTTTTCTTTAATGAATGTATATTACCAAGAACTAACTGGGGGCCAGGTGTGGTGGCTCACACCTGTAATCCTAGCACTCTGGGAGGCTGAGGAGAGCGGATCACTCAAGGTCAGGAGTTGGAAATCAGCCTGAGCAAGAGCAAGACCCGTCTCTACTAAAATTACAAAGAAATTAATTGGCCAACTAAAAATATAGAGAAAAAATTAGCCGGGCATGGTGGCACATGACTGTAGTCCCAGCTACTAGGGAGGCTGAGGCAGAAGGATTGCTTGAGCCCAGGAGATTGAGGTTGCTGTGAGCTAGGTTGCTAGGCTGATGCCTCGGGCACTCTAGCCAGGGCAACAGAGTGAGACTCTATCTCAAAAAAAAAAAAAAAAGGGCCGGGCGTTGTGGCTCACGCCTGTAATCCTAGCTCTCTGGGAGGCCGAGACGGGCGGATTGCTCAAGGTCAGGAGTTCGAAACCAGCCTGAGCAAGAGCGAGACCTCGTCTCTACTATAAATAGAAAGAAATTAATTGGCCAACTAATATATATAGAAAAAATTAGCCGGGCACGGTGGCGCATGCCTGTAGTCCCAGCTACTCGGGAGGCTGAGGCAGGAGGATCGCTTGAGCCCAGGAGTGTAAGGTTGCTGTGAGCTAGGCTGACGCCACGGCACTCACTCTAGCCTGGGCAACAAGTGAGACTCTGTCTCAAAAAAAAAAAAAACAAACAAAAAAAACAAACTGGGGAGCGTGGGGAAGGAATGCAGCCTAGGCCTTGGGTATGCCCAGGGCCAGACCCAACACTGACCTTGGCCAAAATGGTGAAGGCCTCAGGGTCAAGCACCAGGAGCTCCTTGTTCTCACAGCCCAGCACCAGGCATGACACGGCATCCTCATCAGATAGGTTCTTCTTCAAGGTGGTCATGGTAGTGATGACTGTCTGCAGAAGGACTCTGGGGGTTATCCTGGGGACCCCCACTCACCATCCCCCAAGTATCCCCCAAGATGCCACAGGAGGGAAGAGGGCAAAGGAAAAAGAAGTATCAGAGATGTGACAGATTTATGTACAAGGGTTTTTATTGCATCAAAAGCACTGATGAGCTCCTTTTTTGCCACCCAGAACAATTCCATAAAAAAGGAGTTCTTAGAGCCCATTTAATGCTAAAATACATTAGATATTAAAGGGAAGCAGGATTTAAAAGTATATTTATGAAGATAATATACCGAAATGGTAAGAATGGGTATCTCTAGGTAGTGAAATTATAGTCACTTATATATTTCTCCTTTACACTTGTCTTTATTTTCTAAAATTTCTGTAATAAAAATGTTATCTTTACCCCCAAGAAAAGAAAAGTTATATAATGTTTTACATCTCGATATTAAAAACTGTTGACTGGAAGTGGAGAAGCCACTGAGCTTGGTGACCATATACATGGGGCAGGGAAATAGCAAAGTGAAACTGCTCAGGTTTGGTTGTAGAATTTACCCCTGATGTTAAATGGCCTTTAACAAAAAGTAAGTATTTTTTACAAGGAAATAAAAAGAGAAGGGGACATTACCTGCCGCTTGATGGTCTTGGACTTGTGCTGGTTGACAAACGCCTCCATTTCACTCAGCTCCAGCTGCAGAAACCTGGGCACAGCGGGCACCTGCTGCTGCCTCTCAGGCCAGTCTGTAGCCGCTCCCTCCCCCGGGGAATTCTGCAGCCCTGGCCCCTACAGGGCCCTTACCTGAGTGACTGTACGGACAAAGGCACCTCTGCCTTCTCCCTGCAAGGAGAGGGGCCAGCATGGCAGGTTTAGTTGAGGAATGGGGCCCCAGGGTCAGACCGGGTAAAGGAGTTGGGGTGGGCATGGAGAAAGGTGGGCTCTCACCGGATGCCCTCCAGCATCTCCTTCAGGGTTAAGGGGTCGATCCGGTCCTGTGACAGCATGGGAAGGAGGGAGAACCTGTGAGCTTGTGCCAGGCAGGGAATGAGGACACCCATGCCCCCAGGGAGCTCAATTCCAGGGGCACCTCTTCCTCTCCACTTCCCTGCCACCTGCCTCTGTGCTGAGCCCCAAGCTGAAGCCCTTTATTTGAATGTAGCCTCAGGGCCACACACACCACCCCCTTTATCCATGCCTCCCCAAAGCCTTCCTCTCTCGCTGTTTCCAGTCCTCTTTCTCTGGTAGGCCCCTGCCTTCTTTGGTTTCACCTCTCCCAAAGGTGGGCAGGGGTGTGGCCAGCGCAGAGGAATTTTCTGGGTTCTGCTCTCTAAAGGGCCTGGCCGACTGCCCTCCTGGGAGCCACTGCTCAGAGGCCAAACATAGCACTTTGTGCAGAAGTGCCACCCACTGCTGCTGTCAGGGATGGGCTCCCGCCACTGGCCCACCTGGGAGCCCAGCCCTCCTCACACATTGGCTGTCATCTTTTGCCTTCTGGTTCCCAGCCCCACGTTGTTTTACCTCCTTGGCCTGATGCCAAAGGTCTTGTTCCAGAGGATTTGGAGGCAATGGGGGTAGGCTGAACTTGAAGTAGGGTCTGAGATTCTTATACACGTAGACACAAGGGCCTGAAGCAAGTGCCAGAGCAGGAGCCTGGGGCTCGTGTTGCTCCATTAGAAAGGTTGCAGCAGCGGCTGGCAGGGCAGGCAGCGGGCTTTCAGTCAGCACTGTTGGTCCCTTGAGTACCTTCAGACGGGGCTGCTGCCCACTGGGGCCAAGGTCCCCCACCACCAGCTGTAAGGAGAGGATGGCTCATTCCAGGCTCAGGATCTAAAATCCACTCCACTGACCCTCTTCTTGGGCTCAGTCTTTTTGCTGGTGTACATTGATTCATTCCCACACCAACAAAGGCTTTGCCCTAAGGCTTACAAGCTGTGTGATCTTGGAAAAGTTGATTAACCTTTCTGAGCCTCAGTTTTCTCACTTACAAACTGGAAATACCTATGTCATGACACTCGTGGTGAAAATCAAATGAGATAATGAATTATAGAACTTGGTGAGTGCTAGTGAGGAGCAGATGGCAGCTAATTTTTTTTATTCATTCGACAAACATTTCTTAATGTCAGGCACTGTTCTAGACACTGGGACAGTGGCTGAGGTCAGTGGTGGAGGGATGGGGACAGATATATCTGAGCTTCTAAGGCCTAGCTTCCAAATGCAGGGCAGGAGGTGCTCTATGGACACAGAGAAGAGAACCAAACTCATTGGCCTCTTGGTTTTCCACCTTCCAGCCCATCCTTCAAGCTGCTACGGCTGCCATGCAAGCCCATTTTCTGAGTGAGGCCTGTAAGGCCCCTCTGGTCTGGTTTCCAATGTGTCTCCTATCAGCTTCCCATTGCTGTGCTCCAGCCCGCATGGGGGTGTCCAAGAGCACATGGGTACTGAGCATGCACTAAGTGGCAGGGACCACATCAGAAACTACTGCATGCTTTCATTCAACCCTCTCAACAACCTTATGAGGCAGGTACTATTATTAGCCCTATTTCCCAAATGAGGAAGCTGTGTCTTAGAGACATGAAGTAAAAGTCACATAGCTATTAAGTGGGAGGGCTGGGACTGGAGCCTAGGTCTGTCCAAATCTAACACAAGTGGTCTTAATTACCATTTTATATTGGGCTCAACTTTTCAACTCCACATTTATTCTTTCTAAATATGCAATGAACTTCTAAGCCTCTGTGCCTGTTTGTGCTGTTTCTTCTACCTGGAATACCTGCCCCATCCTCTCTTCCTTGCCTTCTTGATACACTTTCATTTGTATCAATGCCCCGTTTACCTGTTACTGCCTCCTGGTGCCTCCAGATATTCAGAATTCATTGTTCTCTCACTGGCGCTCCCATAGTACTTTCTACATATTCTACCTTAGCATCCACTCATGTACCCCACAAATATTTATCAAGTACCTACTTTGTGCCAGGCACTGGGCTACATACTGGGAATCAATGGTGAACAAACTAGCCATTAAACATACTATTACATGAAGACATTTAACATTTCACATTAATTACTGGTGTCTGTGGTTTCTCCACTCCTCACTGCTGTAAACCCAGCATCAAACACAAACTAGATGTTCAATTAATATCATGGTTGAATTAACAATGTGTCTCTCCTGACTAGGTTCTGATTCATTTCTGAGTTTAGAGTCACCACAATGCCTGACACACAGTTAGGGACTCACTATGCATTTCTCATTATATGCTGAATTACTGAATGCGTTATGGACAGGAACTTGGGGACAAAAACCACCAAGTCCTATTGTACTCTCTGTGTGGGGTAAGATTCCAGGACTACTGTCTAGCTGCCCACATAAAACCCCTATTGTGGGGTCATTGACTATGAGAAGGGCTAAACTATGGTGGAAAAAGCACAGGATTTAGAATCAAACCAGGTCTGCCACTGATGAATTCAGTACACTTAGCCTCTCTGAAACTATTTTCCCACTAACAAAATGGGAATAAATAATATCTGTGTATATCCAAGTGCCTTACAGAAGGTCTGGTCCAGAAATACTCAATACATGTTAATTTCCTATCTATCTATCTATCTATCTATCTATCTATCTATCTATCTATTTATTGAGACAGAGTCTCACTCTGTTGCCTGGGCTAGAGTGCCGTGGCATCAGCCTAGCTCACAGCAACCTCAAACTCCTAGGCTCAAGCAATCCTCCTGCCTTAGCCTCCTGAGTAGCTGGGATGTGCCACCATGCCTGGCTAATATTTTTTCTACATATTTTTAGTTGGCCAATTAATTTCTTTCTATTTTGAGTAGAGACAGGGTCTTGCTCTTGCTCAGGCTGGTTTTGAGCTCCTGACCTTGAGTGATCCACCTGTCTCGGCCTTCCAGAGGGCTAGGATTACAGGCATGAGACACCGTGCCCAGCCAACTTCCTTTCCTTTATCCCAATATATTTCTCAACCTTTTAAAAATATGTGCCTTTTAAAATTTATTTATTTATATTTTCATTTATCTTTATATTTAAAATTAAATTTAAATTTCAACCTCTTTATTATGGATAATTTTTGATCATATACAAAAGTAGAGACTCACATAATGAATCCCTACATACAGATTATCCAGCTTCAACAATTATCAGCCCATGGCCAATCTTAAAATCTATGCCCTTTTGATAAACAAAAAAACTCTCACTTCCCTCCCTTTTACTTTCCCTCCAGATTCTAATGCCTGCTCCAACCCAGGGATTTGCCCTACCAACAAAGAATCATGTTAACTAAATTAAGAGGATTTGCCTTAGGAGAATCCCCAGAAGCATTTTGATCTGCTTTACTCTCTGCAGTCTATATTTATGCAATTGATAAATTCTCTTCATTTTCCACATAAAAATAAAATTTAACACTAAATGCGCTTTTTCACAGTACACCTGAATTCCAGATTATGCTGAGCTTCTATGGAGCCATTGGGAAATCTCACTCCTGGGTACTCCCCCCATTCCCCCAACTGTCTTTCTGCTGGGGTGATATGCTTACCTTGTGTTCCCCATCCCCATGCAAATCCGCCAGCACTGGAAAACACAAAGGGGCCCAAACCATGGTCTCAGAATCCCAGAGACTTCACTACAGGACCATTATCTAATTCCCCCATGCCCCCTGAACCCAGGGTTCATGGTTCCAGAGACTCACCTAGGCAGGCGGAAAAGGTGTGGATGTTGGCCACTGGGTCATAGTGGGCGTCCAGCCATTTCGAATTGGCCTCCTTGCTGGGAGTAGGAGGGAAAGAGAGTTGGGGAGTGAGTCCCATGGGAGGGAAAGAAAACAGAGCTGGTGTCTGACAGGGGGGTGTGCAGGGAGCTCTGAACTGGGGGTACAGAACGTCTGCGTCCAAGTACAGTAGGCTCCGCTCCTGAGGTAACCTCGAGTCAAGACACACGCATGCACTTCTTGGGCCTCGATTTCCCTATGTGACCTCTAAGAGTTCTTCGGGAACTGCTAGCGCTGCTCGAGAACTGCAGGAGCCCAGAGCCCGGGGATCAAGGCACCCTCTTTACATCTGTGGGGAAGGAGGCCTCGAGGACCCCAGCCTTCACCTCTCAGCTCTGCCGCTGTCGGAATCCGATGAAGACGCCGCGGCCATCTTCGCAGACGTCGTCCTGGCAACCGGCCCCGCCCCCGGCGCCGCGCAACGCTCAATCGTGCCCGGGCGGTGGTAAGCGCGCACACGAAGGTTCCGGGCGCGAAGCTTTCCCAGCCAGCCTCTAAAGCCCCACTGTGGGATGCGCTGGCCTCCTTCCTGGGTTGCGTCCGGCGGAGGCGCAGTCACTCTTCCTAGCATTTGATTTATCTGTACTCCTTCCCAGGCGGAGCTACCTTTCCAGGCTTCCAGGCCCTACAATCTCTGTGGCAGCCACAGGGCCCTCTGGCTTTGATATCTGGAAAGGATTCCCTTCTAGCGTTTATGAGCAGACAAACGGTCTCCGCCTGTCTTCATCTTCGTGGTTATCCCGTTGAAAAGCGGGCATGTCCTTTCTTGCTGCCTTACTGTAGAGGTCCAGGCTCAGAGAAGCAAAACACGAGGGGGAGGGGGCACTGCAGAGGGTTCTGACCCACTCTGGAGGTTTCCAGTTTTTAGGTTCCCAGAATACCTAAATGCAAGACGTGACACAAAGGAGGGCTGTAAAAACCGCCGTGTTCAACCCTGAGACTGTGTATTCCCATTTAGAGATAATGTCAAATCCTGTTGTGGGTGGGAGGCTAAAAATGGCTCTCCTGTCCCCTCCCCAGGCCTTGATCCCACGGCCCTGCCGGGAGCAAATGAGAAATAAGACAAAAAGGCAAGGAAGGAGGAATCACACGTGTGGCAAAGACATCGGTAGTTTCTAATATTTATTTTTCTGGCTATAAAAGTAACACGTGAGGAGCATTGGATTTGGTGAGAATGTTTTGAGCCCTGGTTCTGTCACATACCACCTGCAGGATCTAGACAAGTCACTTCTTCAGAACTGTTATTTCCTCATCTGGGAAACAGGAGAGTGAGCCCGGTCTTGCCCACTCCACAGAGGGCAGCGCAGGTCAAACGAGATAACAGAGAGGAAGCACTTGGTAAATTGGAAAGTGCTGACAAATGGCAGGGGTTAGTGTCACCACCCTCAGCTGAGGTAGCACCAAGGTCCGAGCTCCTGCTCCTCCCCCAGCCCCTAAATACACACCCCCAAATGGAGGGCCACTTGTGACCTGGCCTGATGGAGTGGGGGGAGGGGCCACACAAATCTTCCTCAAGCCTGGCCTAGTGTGGCCTCACTGGGGCCTCTCCAGAACCGGGCATCAGCCGTGGCCAGCTGGGTGAGGACCTCCTCCAACTTGGGCCCATCCTCTGGGAAGCGCTCGGAGAAGGATCGGATGAGGCCAGCAGCCGAGGCCTCGTATTCCAAAAGCTGTACTTCCGAGCCTGGGGAGGAGACGGAGAGAAAAGAGCAGCAGGGAAGGGGAATAGGGAAGAAGAACCATAATGATAGTTATAACAATCATAATCTCAGGAGGAGCTAGTTCTTACTGAGCTCTTATCTTGTGCCAAAAACTGCGCTCAATGTTTTAGGTTAATGATCTAGTTTAATCGTGACTACGACCCTGAGGAAGGAAATACTACAGGAGGAGGACTAAATGAATTTCTGCTTTCACTGATTCAAAGATTTACACCAGGTGCCACGCTAGGTCAAAGAGATACAGTCCACGGCCTCCTGGACCTTGCAGTCCAGCAATCGCTTCATCTGTCTCCTGTGGGACCTTGGGCAAATCCCAACTTCTCTAAGCCTAAGTTTCTACATCTGTAAAGGAACTTTTTACACACAATAACGCGTTGAGTGGGCGCTCAACAATTGCTAGCTACCACCAGCATCAGTGTCTCTGAGCCTATTTACTCATCTGTTAAATGGGGCTGCTCCAGCGGTCCCCTAAATACTCATGGGAAGCACTCCCCTCGAACACACTTCGATTGCTCTACCCTCTCTCGGCGCCTCGTCATGCTCCATGGCGCTGCCAGGTGTATAGTATCGGAGAGCACAGGCTCTGGATTCAGACAGCTGGAGTTTAAGTTCTGGCTCTGCCACCTACTAGCTGTGTAACCTCAGGCAAATACACAGACCCTCTGTGTCTCATTTTCTAGCTGAAGAATGGGGATAAGGATCATTCCTCATTGGGTTGTTGGGAGTTAATCCATGGACAGTTTTTACTCAGCACCCGGCATATGAAAGTCCTCAAAAGTTAGCCATCATCATCATCATCATTTTTTTTTGAAAATACAATCTGTTCTTCAGCTCTACTTTAAACACCACTTCTTTCCCAGAACCTTCCCAGATTCTTCTGGAGGTGGATGTGATCTTCTCTACTCTAAGTGTTCAGAGCACTGTTCGTGTCTTTCAGGCACTCATTAACACTTCTTTTGTATGATTATTTATCTCCAAGTCTTATCCTCTGAATGACCTGTCAACTACTTGAGGGCAGTGGATCCCCAGTGGCTGGCACAGGGCTGCACACATCAAAACAACTGATGATACTATCCACGTGGCTGGCACGATTCGCACGGCTCCAGCGTGCCAGGCCGTGTGCTTGGTGCTGGGCTATGTCGGTCTCGGAGATGAGACCGACAACATGGGTGAGCGTGATGGGCGCAGAAAGAAAATGAAGTTGGGTGACAGAACAGAGAGGGACCGAAGGGGTCACTTCAGGTCAAGAGGTCGGGGACAGCCTCTTGAAGACTTCTGAGTTGCCATTTAACAGCGACCCCAATGACGTGAAGAACCAGGTTCTTCTCAGGCGAAGGGAAGGTCCGGGGCGAGATGGAGCCAGGCAGAGGGCGCTGCCTTGCAAAGGCTGCAGGGTGCGGGGAGCTCAGGGGGTTGGAGGAATGGAAGGGCCGGTGCCGGGAGTGCAGGGAGCCAGAGAAGAGGCCGGCAGGGGCTGGGCCAAATCCCAGGAAGCCTCTGCGTGGCCTGGTAGAGTTTGGAATGAGCCTCTTAATACATGCTTATCCCTCACCAATAACTGGTAGAAACTTTTATAGACGTTATTTATTCTATTTAACCCTCACACCTGCTCATAACATATGGAAGTGAGCAGCAAATGCTCTTAATGTGGCTCCTGGCTCCTCCAGTAAAAAGCAATAAGCCTTGTACAAATTACTTTGTGCCTCAGTTTCCTTATCTGTAAAATGGGGATAACAAAAAATTCCTACCTCACTGGGTTACTGTGAGGATTTAAAAGGTTAGCCTACGGAAAGCACTTGGAACATCAGGGAAGTACTTCAGGCTCACTGCAGTATCAGCAGGCAATGATGCTGGCTTTATGAATGAAGACACCAAAGCCTAGAAGGGTGAAGTGACTAAGCCAAGGCCAAGGACAGTTGTGAAGCTGGTGCTCTAACCACTCCATGGCACCAGCTTGTCTTGGGTGCCTCAAGTGACAGGTGTCAGGAAGGATGAGTCAAGGGGTGAGAAGAACGTGAATGCGGTGAGGTGCTGGGACCCCAAGGGGTTTAATACAAAAAGTGCACGCACCATGCAGATAGGGTGGGGCCTTGTGGAAATGGAATCGTCACTTGAGAAGGAAGAGGGACAACCAGCTGTTGATCTGCATCCTGCACGTGGCCGAGTAGCCTTGTTCTCTGGGCTCCACTAGGCCTGCTGGGTCCCAGCTCCCTGCCTGACTTGACCTTGAGCCTGGGGACCTACAGGTCTGGCTCTCTGGTGCCAGGCCTGGCCTCCCCTAAGTCTGTTCCGCTAGCCCCTGCTCTACTGGCTTTCCGCAAACCTTCCGTTGCTGTCTTACACCCTGCACGGCCCTGTGTGCGCTGTGTGCGCGTGCACTGTGTGTGCTGTGTGTGTGCGCACGCGTGTGTGTGCAGTGGTAGATGCCAAGGTTTTGGCCTGAGGTTTGGCATGGAAAGGACCCTGGCGGGGAGCGAGGGGGCGCGGGGGAGGGAGGGGCCATGCCAGGTAGCCTTCCGTGAGCCCCAGGGGGTCCTTTGCATTGCCATAGGCCCTGCGGCCCCCATCAAAGGGGCACAGACGTCCATTACCTTCGAGGCGTCCATTACCTTCGAGGCGAGTGTTGGGCTGAACGATGAGCTTCCGAGATTCCTTGCGCAGCAGCACCGTGTCCCTGAGGGTGAGGAAGCACTCGGGGGGCGCATCCGTGACAGCCGCATACCCCTCGTACAGCGCCCGCCCTCCGGCCACATCTCCCGTGGACTTGAGCACCTGTGGGAGGGAGGGAGGAAAAGTCTAGGAGGGGCACTCAGCCTGCGTCCACAGTGCCCTGGGCGGTCTGTGCTATGGTTTGAATGTGAACTTGCCAAAATTCGGCTGTTAACACTTAATGGATAGGCCGGGGGCGGTAGCTCACGCCTGTAATCCTAGCACTCTGGGAGGCCGAGGAGGGCTGATCGCTCAAGGTCAGGAGTTCGAGACCAGCCTGAGCAAGAGCAAGACCCCATCTCTACTAAAAATAGAAAGAAATTAATTGGCCAACTAATACATATATAGAAAAAATTAGCCGGGCATGGTGGTACATGCCTGTAGTCCCAGCTACTCGGGAGGCTGAGGCAGCAGGGTCGCTTGAGACCAGGAGTTTGAGGTTGCTGTGAGCTAGGCTGATGCCACGGCACTCTAGCCCAGACAACAGAGTGACACTGTGTCTAAAAAAAAAAAAACACAAAACTTAATGGCTAATGTGATGATATTAATATTAAGAGGTGGGGCCTTTAAGGGGTGATTTGGCCGTGCAAAACGGCTCTTCCCTTGTGAATGGGACTAAGGCCGTCATAAAAGAGGCTTCAAGCCATGTTTGCCCTCTTGCCCTTTGGCCTTCTGCCATGTGGGGACACGGCGCCCCTCCCCTCCCAAGAACACAGCAGCCCTCACCAGACAACCGAACCTGCCAGCACCTTGATTTCAGTCTTCCCAGGCTCCAGAACTGTGAGGAATAAATTTCTATCCTTTATAAATTGTCCAGTCTCAAGTATTTTGTTACAGTAGCACAAAGCAGACTGAGAGAGTCTGTAAAATGCTTAACTCACTTACAGGCTGTGTAACCTCGGACAAGCGACTAAACCACTCTGAGCTGTCCTCTCCAAATGGGAACAGTATTTGCTCTCAGTGTTATTGTGCTGAATGAGTGAGAAATGCAGATCGAATGCTTAGCACGTAGGAAATGCACGCTAAATTGAAGCTGTTTCTCATTTGATTGTCTCATTTGATGTGCAGACAAGGTAGGTATTCCCATTACGCTCTTTTCATATGTTTTTAAAAATTTTTTTAGAGACAGGGTTTCACTCTGTCCCCCAGGCTGAAGCCCTCCCTGCTTGGCGTCTCACTGTTGTGGACCTGGGCTTTCCCTGGTGGCTAATTCAAGAAACAGCCGCACCAAGAATTATTTCATATTCCACGTTCTCTGTAAAACTACTGCTGAGGGACCGCCCACCATGTGGAATGATTCCGCCTGCACAGACACCTTGCTGGCTCAGTCTCCAGAAAGGGCTGCTGGAAAGCTCTGTGCTAATTTAGTGCTCGCTCAGCTGCAGTTCCGTGTTGGCCTAGCAGTTAGTAGGTTTGATTCCTCCATCTAATGATTTGTTATAATTATTAATAAACTTCATTTTGGAATAATTTCGGATTTGCAGAAAAGTTGCAAAGATGGTAGGGAGAGTTTCCACATGCCCCCTGCCCAGCGTCACCTGTTGTTAATTCTGACCCAGTGGGTACATTACCATTAGCTAAACTCTACACTTTATTTGGATTTCACTAGTTTTCCTACTAATGCCCTTTTCCTTTTCTATTCCAGGATCCAATCCAAGATACCATATTGCTTTGCATCTGATGATTTTTAATCTCTAAGCTACTTTAATGGACAAATATCTTTTATGGAAAAAATGCCATAAATCCTTCTGGAGACAAGTGGGCATAAAATCACAAAGAGATACTGTGATTTATGATTCATGATTTGTGATTTAACTTGTGACTTAAAGGCTGGGGCTTCTGTAGGTAGAAAAAGCTGGCAGGACCCTGTGCTATGGGAAGGTCTGCACTCTAGAGAGTGGCTCATCAGTGGTTCTCACCTTCGCTGGCATCAGGATCGCCTAGAGGGCCAACAGACATGCAGGTCCCTGAGGCCTGGCCCTCGGAGATGCTAATCCCGAGGGCTGGAACGGGGCCTGGGAACCTGCATTTCTAACCTGCTCTGGGGGGGCCAGTGTTGCCGGTCCCTGGACCACAAACGTCTGGGTCTCGTGTTGTTCCGGCTGAGATAACACGACATTCAGTCTGCTCGGTTCTGTATGTGCAATGTTTCATCTAATCCTCGCAGGTGCAACCCACTGACAGGTGAGAAAAGAGGTGCCCAGAGAGATGGACTGTGTCGCCTCGATTACCCAGGCAGTCAGCACTGGCACCAGAAGCCCGAAAGTCTCCTGGCTCTCAGCATCCCTGCACGAGAGGGAAGCCAGGGCGGCACTACCCACCATCCTTTCCCTCCTTCACTCACCACGCTCCAGGCCTCCTTCTGTCCCTCAAACCCCCCGAGCTCATTCTGATCCCAAGACTGGCCCTTGCACTTGCTGCCGCTTCTGCGCTCAGACGTTGTCACAGCTGGTTCTTCCTTGGCGCTCAAATTCCAGCTCAACTGACACCTCCTCCAAGAAGGAGGATTACCCACACTAAGACAGACCTTCCTTGCCCCTCCAATCATACTCACCACCACATCACGCACTTTCATTGCCTTTCCAGCTCTTCTCACGATCTGAAGTTATCTCACGCCCTGACTGCTTATGTGTTTACTGTCCACCTTCCCTCGTGACAGCCTAAGGAACTGCTCACAGCCTAGTCTCAGTGCCCGGCACACAGCAACGCTCGGCGTAAAGACTTGATGAATGAATGAACGAATGAACAAACTGACCAGGAGGCTATGAGGAAGTGTTCACCGGGTAGGGAGACAGGGCAGAGGTGGGCAGGTGCCCTCCACGGCGAGATGCCCCTGCTTACCTGCAGTCTCCGTAGAAACCGCTCCAGGGCGGGCCTGCCCACGGACCGGATCTTGCTGCGGTCAAGGCGGACTCGGGCATCGGGGCGCCCGTCGGAGCCTGTGGTGGGAGTGACGGCCACGAGTCCCTCGCCAGCCTCCAGCAAGACCCTTAGGATCACAAATCGGGCCTGCATGTGGGCCTGCAGCAGGGGAAAGGGGTCGTTGGTAGCCTGTGTCCGAAGCCTGGCCCACGCCCTGATGTGCAGCGGGTGCCCGTTAATGTCAATTGTTATCACGTCTCTCTCGTTCGCACCTTGTCCTTTTCTGCCTGTTCCTCTTTTCTCAACTGCTTTCTCCCTCCTTGGCTCACAGGGTGGGCAGGCTGCCTTGGGGGACAGCGAGGCCATTTCAAGGCAGGACCCGGGGCCCTGTGCTCCTCCTCATCACCCGGGCTGCTCCAGGCGCCCCCCGAGGACAGCAGCCATACCCAAGGACCCCAAGCACTTTCTCCCCCACAGTCTTGTTTGTGTTCAACAGTGGGACCAGGTAGGCAGCATTGTCTCCCGTTTACAGACAACAGAACAGGCCCAGAGAGCTGAGGTGACTTTGTCAGGGTCACACAGCTGGTAGAGGAAGAGCCGGGATTCAGACCCAAGATTCTGCACTCCAAAACATGTGTTTTTTTAATGACACAGCATTGCCTCCTTATTTGATTTTGTAAACAATGTTCTACTGCTGGCCTGAAATCCCAGCATTTTGGGAGGCCAAGGCAGGGGGACTGCTTGAGGCCAGGAGTTTGACACCAGCCTGGGCAACACAGTAACATACCATCTCTACAAAAATAAAAACAAAAAAGTTAGCCAGGTATGGTGGCGCATGCCTGTAGTCCTAGCCACTCAGGAGGCTGAGGCAGGAGGATCTGAGCCCAGGAGTTAAAGGCTGCAGTGAGCTATGATTGCACCACTGCACTCTAGCCTGGGCAACACAGCAAGACACTGTCTCAAAAAAAAAAAAAAAATCCTACTGCTTACCCTATTTCCAAAGGATATATCATAACAGAGCCTGAAGCCTGCTGGCTCTGGAGGCAGACTGCCTGGGTTTGAATCCTGGCTCTGCCACTCGGCAGCAAGTTACTTAATCTCTTTGTGCTTCGATTTCCTCATCTCTAAAACCAGGATAATGACAATACCTACCTCCTGGGGCTGATGCTAGAGACAAAAGCTAATTAACGGAAGGGGCTTAGAACTGTGTGTGGCAGAGTGAGTCAGCTGCTCGTAGTAGTAAAATCATCTCATCTGACTCTCCCTGGAAGGAGGCCGGGGAGAGATCATGACTCCCATTTCCCAGGCAGGGACTCTGAGGCTCACAAGGGTGATGTGACTTGCTGCCTGAACCGTGGAGCCTGGGATTAAACCCAGTTCACCTGCCTTGTAGGTAAGGCACCTACAAGGTGAGGGTGATCCCTGCACCCCAGAGTCCTGATCTTGGCGCCCACTGCAGGCTCCCTCCCACCTCCTGGGGGCTCCCCCAGCCCCACCTGTCTCCAGCTGGAGACCTCAGGGGTGTAGAACTCCAGGGCCAGCAGCCCAGCCCGAACCATGTTGAGCCAGTTCACGTAGATCACGTCTTCTGCGTCAGCCCCCTCAATGCCAAAGATCCTGGGGGAAGGAGGGGTGGGTGAAAGGGATGGTCAGAGGCTGCCCTGCTCTCCCGGCCAGCACCCACCCCTCCCACCCCTCTGGCCTGCCGCCCGTACTCCAGGACTTGCGGGTGGAGGCAGAGGTAGAGGCCCACGCTCTCAGCCCGGCACTCTTCGTAGCTGGAGGCGATGTTGCTGAACTTGCTGTCCCAGGTCTCCCCACTCTGGTACCAGCTCTGAATCTGGGAGTGGAGGCCCAGAAACCAGGCTTAGGGGTGGCTGCAACCCCACACGTGCCCGCCCTCCTCCAGCACCCCGGGGCTCCGCCAACGCTGCCCTCACCCGCTCCCCCGTCTCTGGGTTAATCACGGTCTCCTGGTCAAAGTTGAACGCTCCCTTCTCATCCTGCGGACACAGCGGAAGTGAGGGACGGGCTGGTCTCACTTTCAGCCCCAGCTCCACGGCCGAGGAGTGGCTCAGGGAGGAGGGCTGGGCGGCAGGAGTGGCTGCTGCCTCCGTCCACATACGGGCGCCTCCAAACCCGAGTCCTGCGACACCCGCTGCCTCCTCAGAGCCCTCGGGAGGGGAGAACCAGAGCCGCCTACCCCACGGCACAGAGAGGGACGCTGAGGGCCAGACGGGGGAGGGACCTGCCTGTCGTGTGAAGACCCAGACCTGGTGTCCCCAGACCCCAGTGGATGGGCCAGAGAGCCCAGCTGCCCCTCCCCCGTGGCCCAGCCCATCTCCCGGTGCTGCCAGTCGAGGCTGGTGTCACCCCCTCTGTCCCACCACATACCAAGCACCATCCATTTAATCCTCACAACCACCCTCCAAGAAAGGTGCTATGACGACCCCACTTCAAAGATGGGGGAACTGAGGCTCAGAGACTAAGAGCCCCGAACTGGAATTAGAGCGCACAGCCCGCATGTGCCCTATCTCTCGACACTAATGCCTGAGTGCTGATGGCCTACTGAGTGCCGGGGCTCATCGTCCACCTTCACTTTTATTCCTTTCAGAAATCATAAACCCCACTCAACAGATGGGCCAACTGAGGCTCAGGGAGGGGAACTGACTTGTCAGCGGCCACAGGCTGGACTGAGCCCGGGCAAGGCTCTGGGCCAGGCTGCTGCCCCATCGGCATCTTCCTGACTCCAGAAGGCGCCCACCGTGGGAGCAGCCCCACCAGCACCCTGCGCTCTGATGGTCCCTGCCACGTCCCACCTCTTGTCATCTCCACTCTGGGGGGCCACACAAGCTTTTCCCAGCCTGCCAGAAAGGCTGTCTGCCTTTGCACGTTCCCTGAGTGCGTGTGGGGGGCTCCAGCCACTCTGGCCAGCTGGCAGGAAAGGCTGCTCTGGGCAGAAGTGGCTCCTTAGGATACCTGGAAAGGTCCAGCTCCAGGGAACAGCCATGCAAAGACAGACAGCACTGCGGCCTCAGGACAGGGAACGTCCACAGATGGCCCTACCCAACCCTTGTCCCCAGGGCTGCTGTAGTCACACCTGAGCTGAGCAATCCCTCCTGGTGCAGGGACAGCTGCTGGACTGTCCCAGAGGTCCCTTGATACCCACCCAGTTATCTGAACTCCTGGAACATCTGAGGGGAGGGCAAGGCAGGGTCTTCCCTGCTTAGGGGGCCATTTTCCCACCAAACCCAAAGCCCTTAAGGGCAGAGACTGGAGCCACCTGGCCCTGGGCAGGGCAGTCGTCAGGGAGGGGACTGTGGGCCTCGCTGCAGAGGCGGCTCCCGTGGGCCCCAGGGCTGGCCGCTGCCGTCTCACCTGCACGAAGAGTTTGCCGCTGCCATGGCCCAGCAGCTCGTGCAGCCCGACCTGCACGTCGAAGGACGGCCCCTTCCACCGCAGGTACAGGTCCTGCCAGGACAAGCAGAGACCCACGCTGTCCACGGCACGCCAGCCACACAGCCCGCCGGCTTTCCCTGCCCTGCCCGGGCCGAGGGCCCGCCGAGGTGCACATGAAGCTGCCTGTGCTCTGGCCCCACGCAGCCCATCTCCCCCTCCTGGTAACCCAGGAGGGAGGGACACTTCCACTGTGTGACCGGTGAAGTGCCTTCAAAGCGGCACTTGGTCACACGGCCCAGGAGTGGCAGGGCCAGGACCAGAGCTGTGCTTCCACTCTGCTGCTCTGGGCCGCCTGCCCTCCCCGGTCCACGGGGACAGGTGAGGCCCAGCCCCAACCCCCGGCTGCCGGCGCCCACCTTGTCGTCCTCCTCCAAGAAGGTGAGCTTCTCACGTGGCGTGGTGTAGGCCACGGCCAGCACGTTCCCCAGCGACACATTCTTAAAGCCTTCTGTCTGCCGCAAGTCGTCGTCTGGAGGAGAAGGCAGGGAGGGACCAGGGAGAAGGGGCAAAGGTCAAGGGTCACAGACAAGAGGAACAGGCGGGGCCGGCGAGTAGAGCAGGGAGGGCAGTCTGTGGCCAAGGTCCGTGTGTGGAGAGGGAGGGGATCGCGGGCTGGGCCGGGGACACTCACAGTTGGGGATGTTGATGCCGGCCGGGATGCCGGAGCCAGCGAAGGTGAGGACATCCAGGGAGGTGAAGTCGGGCGTGAGGAACTTGTCCTTCTCGAAGGCTGAGGGCCAGGGCAGCTCCTTCAGCAGCTGCTCCGCACTGCCCACGAGCCGCTCGAACTTGGCGCTCATGGCTTTGTTCACCATGGCCACGAAGCCTGCAGGGCAGCGAGGGGCTGTGGCTCGGCCGGGTTCTGGGAGGGCTCCCACTCCATCCACCCAACCCTCTAGCCATCACGCACGCACTGAACGCCTGCTGTGTGCAAGGACCCTGTGCTGGCTGCTGGGGACAGCAGTGACCCAGACCTGGGCCCTACCAGATGAGGACCTGGCAGGAAAACAGTCTGCCCCCCAGGCCCCCAGGCCTGAGTCCAGGGGCTCACACCCGCGGGGGCCAGAGGCGTCGTGCTCCCCTCCCTCCTCGCAGGCTGAGCTCTCTGGCTTCAGCAGGTGGACGCTCATCCCACGTCCTGGGACCGGGGAGGATGAGGGCGGGCAGAGCCATGACTGCATCCTCGGGCTGGATGCTCTGCCCTACACAGTGGGTCCCGTGGGGCGTGGGGGCCGGGGCAGCCTGCCTCCAGCCCAGAATGACAGCACCGAGTCGGGCTCACAGCCACAACGTCCCCTTGCCCCCTGCCACCGGGTGCGGCAGTCTGCACGTGTTCTCTCACGCGTGCGCACGGGCTGGGTGATCGGCCCGAGGCCACACAGCCGGTGAGTGGCAAAGCCGGGCTTGGAACACACGTCCGCCTGGAGCCTGGGCCCTGACCAGACACCACAGGCAGCACAGCAAAGTGGCTCAGAGCCAGGTGCCTGGGCCCGGCCACCTGCCAATTGTGCCCCAGTTCCCACGTCTGTCAGGTGAGGGTGAAAATCCTCACGGGAGGATGGCGTGTGAACGACTGAACAGGTGAGCTCTGCACAGAGCGGCGCCTGGTGCATGGGAAACAATCTTCACCACGGCTGCTGCTGTCATCGCTGAGCCGAGGGTGGGGGAGAACCCTCAGGGACGCTGGGGTATGAACCTGACCCCCCAACCCCACCCAGCGGTTACCTTCAAACTCTCCCCGGGAGCCAAAGGGGTCGCGGTAGCTCTCGATGAACCCGATGTAGCTGCGGAGAGAAGGGCAGAGGTGGAGCAGGGGCGGCGGGAGGGCAGTACGGGGCGAGGCCGGCCCTCACCTCTCCACGATGGGGCCCTTGTCCTGGATCCAGAAGCGGGAGCCCCTCTTGTGGGCCTCGACGGAGCCCTGGGTGAAGCTCTCCACATACTGGGCCAGCATCTGCTCCTGGTGGCTGTTGGCTGCGTATGCCTGGGGGTGGGGCGGGGCCGCTCAGCCTCGGGCCGCCCACCCATCCCCATCCCCTCCTTGGCTGCCCGGGGGTCCCGAACCTGCACCCCAAGGCCCCCACCGGCCCTACCTTGGCTTTCTCCAGCTGCTCCACCACCTTCTGCAGGATGGGCGCATAGTCCCCGCGGGTCACCTGGAAATGGCTACCCCGGAATTCGTAGCTCTTCAGCTTGGAAGTCACTTCGGAGTCCAGGGCAGGCTCTGAGGAGAGAGGAATCACGCGGGGGAAAGGCCAGCCTGAGACACCTCAGCAGACTTTCCGCCACGGCACTCTTTCGCTCTAAGATCTTCAATGGCTCCCACTGCCAACAGAAATTAGCAGACGCGCTCATCTTCAAAAAAATACGTGTCAAGTCACATGCAGTGTTCTAAGTGCTTTATGTGTGTTCATGCATTTAAGCCTCACACCAGCCCTGTGGGGAGGAGAACTTATTCTCTCCATTTCACAGATGGGGAAACTAAGGCACCAAGAGGCCCATGGCTGGTGAGTGGCAGCCTGGACTTAAGAAAGACAGCCACACCCAGGATGTAGTCACAGTGGTCCTCACAAGGCGACAAGAGGGTCACTGGGGAGGCAGGGACGGGACAACAGAAGAAAGCTGTTGGATGGAGTGAGGAAGGGGCCAGAGCCCAGGAGTGCAGGCAGTCTTCTAGAAGACAGAAAAGGTGAGGAAACAGATTCCCCGAGACTCCAGAAGGGACGCAGCCCGGCTGACCTTGATTTTAGACTTTGAACCTTCGCAACTGCAACAGAATAAATTCACGGTAATTTGTTAGAGAAGCAATGGGATACTGACACACTGTTGCATCTTGCCTGTTGTCTCTGATCAATAAAAAGATACCTATAGACTATGTAAAAAATGTAAATAAAAAAGACAGCCACAGCCACAGCCAGGCATGGTGGCTCACGCCTATAATCCCAGTACTTTTGGAGGCCGAGGCAGGAAGATTGCTTGAGACCAGGGATTCAAGACCAGACTAAGCAACATAGTGAGACCCTGTCTCTACAAAAAAAATTAGCTGTGTATGGTGGGGTGCACCTGTAGTCCCAGCTACTTGGGAGGCTGTAGCAGGAGAACCACTGAAACCCATGAGTTTGAGGCTGCAATGAGCTGTGATGACAATACTGTACTCCAGCTCCGGCCTGGGTGACAGAGTGAGACCCTGTCTCCAAAACAAAAATGACAGCCATGGTATTTCCTGTCTGACCACAGCAGAAGCGATGCCACGTGAGTGCCAAGGCTAGGTCACGAGACGCGGGCCAGCTTCCGCCTGGCTCTCTTGGGACGCTCACTCTTGGCACCCAGCCACCGTGAGGCATCTTGGTTGACAGCCCCGCTGACAGCTGGCACCTGCGTGCCGAGTGAGTCTGCAGATGACCTCGGAGGCCCATACATCATCACGGGGCCAGCCGCTCCTGCTCTGCTCCGTCCACCTTCCTGACCCCCAGAGTCCGGGAACATGAGAAGGCAGTTTTGCGGCACTAAATTTTAGGGGCATTTGTTCCACAGCAATAGACAATGGATCCACTCGGGCAGCCTGGCTTGAGCCACACTCCTAACCTCTCACCTTCTGTGTGACCCTCGCCCTTCTTCCGATTCACACCAAACTAACTGCCTGCCGAGCCCTAAGCCGTCCCCCTCCCACCTGGGGCGCTGTTCTCGTTTCCGCACATCTTTACTCACACACTGAGGAGCTGAGCATCCACTAAGTGCTGACATGCATGAGACAAGGATGCCCGAGACACCCCGCTCCCCGTCCCAGGGAGCTGGTGGGCAGGGAGGTGCTGAGCGTGCCGAAGGGAGGGAGAGGGGCACGGCTCAGTTATGGGGAACAGGAAGGTCCTGGAGAAGCAGCATCCATGCACGGCCCAGAGGATGTGGGGAGCAGGCCAGGGGAACATGGGTGGCAGGGGGCCCCATGCAACTAGACCCTGTGAAGGCCTGCAAGGGACAGGAGCACTGCAGCCATTCTCAGCTGGAGTGGAGACTGAAAAGGCGGTCTCGGGGGATGCGAGGCTGGGGCGGGCAGGGAGCTTGTGGGTGGGGAAAGAAGGGCCAGGTGGCCGAGAGCCACAGGGCCTGGACATTTCTGTCCATACCATGTCCACTCCCCCTCACCCAGCTTCCCTTTGAGAACGCATCCCCCGACCCCCAGGCCAGGTGGTCTGGGCCGCCCTCATCCCTGGCGCTGGGGGAGGCGTGACACCAGGTTGAGCCAATCAGAGACGTGTCCCTTGCCTGCCCTCGGGAACTGGTTCACAGATAAACATGAGACCGACGGGCAGAAACCAGAGCCCCGCAGCCACCTGGGCCTCACGCAGAAACTCCAGGGAGAGCACCCTCTCTTCCTGCTGGAGTGGCGGGGCTGGTGGCCTGGCCACCGGGTCCAGGAATGCCTAGGTGGGAGCACAGGGGCGGGAGGAGTGGCCGCTGGGCCTCGCGCACCTGCACAGAGCACGGAAGCCAGCCGCACGTCGTAGCGGGCCTTCCCTTCCCGGTCGACCTCCTTGAAGAGCCTTGTGTTGTAGGCACTGAGGTTCTAGGAAAGAACGGGGATAGCGTTGGCTGGGAGGGGACAGAGCGGGAGCATCTGCTCCCGCTCTGCTCCACACGTTGAGAGCTAGATTTTACTAAGCACCGACTCAACTGCGCCAGGTACCACGTGACCTCGGCTCACCCAAGGCTGCCAGAGGCGGCACGGCTTCACAGACACGGAAACCGGTCACACGCTGGGCTGAGCAGGGACTTCCAGGGGACACACAGACCCCAGAGCCCAGCTGGACGCTCGGCCTCACCCTGTCCTGAGGCTGTCCTCAGGCTCTACAGCCTGGGGGGGGGCTCCATCCCTCACACGTGTGGGGTGGGACATCTCCCCTGTCTGCCCCGGCCAGCCTCTTACACAAGAATCCAAGTCTTTTCCGCCTCACGGACCCGAGAAGCCGTGTCTCTGGGCCCGAGCTGAGGCCCAGGCGCTGTCACCGGGGACGAGGGGCTGGGAGGACGAGGACCATTAAACCACCTCCCAAGTTCCCCGGGCCCCACACCTGTGAGTCCAGAAAGTCTTGAGCCAGTTTGGCATCTTCCATGGTACAATTTCCAGAGAAATAGGTGGTGACTCCCTGTTGGGGAAGAGAGGAGTTGCCAGGGTTGGGGGGCCTGCAGGGACGGCCGGCAAGTCCCTTCCCAGGCTTCCGGCTCCTCCTCTGAGCAGCCTCCGCCCCGTCCCCCTCCATCTCTCTGCAGGGGAAAGTGTAAAACAGACAGCAAGATCCGCACCTCCAGCCTTCCTGCTGCTCTGCTGCGGCCTCTCCCTGGCCGGCCCGCCCGTCCGGCCCGCCCCGGCCCTCACCCCACACGGCCCAAGCGGCCTCCAGGGTTGGGAAGCCTGGGACCCCTCCTCCACGCACCTCCACCCCTTCTCCTTTTCCCTCCTTCCGCACACAGCGTCGGATCCGGGAGGACCGTGGGAAAGCGTCCACCGACCTGCTCCCACCTCACAGACCACACACCCGCCCGGGGCCCGCTGCCTCCCCAGCAGGTGCCCTTCCCGCCCTCCACTGCCCCGCCACTGGGGGCCTCACCTCCGTCCCCAGCCCAAGGTGTCGCAGCCTCGGCTCCAGAGAGAACATGAGCTCCCCGCACGTCTGCCACAGGCCCCTGACCTCCTCGGGGTGCCGCCGAGCGGCCTCGCTCCCCAGAATCACACGCTCCAGCTTCTCCTGCAGGGCCAGGGAGGGCACCGGCCCGGTCACGCCGCAAACCTGCCCTCCAAGGCCTCCCCACCCACGCCTGAGCTCTCCCGTGGCTCAGAGTGTGGTCCACGGAGCAGGACCGGCTGAACCTGAGAAACGTCGAGCCCGGGTCTCCCCCTCCCCGCAGATGCGCTTAATCAGACTGGGCGTTGGCATTTCAGTAAGACCATGGGGGCCCAGTGCACGCTAACGTCAGAAGCCACGGGGTGAGAGCCGCGTCCGGATCCCCGGGAGGGCGCCCTGCTAGGCCTTCTCCACGGTTCCCCGTGGTGGCCAACAGGCTCTGTTTTTGCAGTGCCTAGAAGTTCCCAGAACATTTCCATGTTCCACCCCTGTTCGACCTGCGGATCAGCACAGTCAGGAAGAGCTGCGCTTTTCCTCCTATGCGTGAGGCTGGGTGACACCCACGGTCACGCAGCAGGGCAGTGACAGGGTCAAGGCTCTGCTCAGGACCCCTGACTCCGGCTGAGGCTTCGCCTACTGCATTCCGCACCCCCACCCACCAGCCCCCTATTTCCCACCTTCCCCACCCACCCTCAGCTCACCTTGGGCAGGTTGGGAACAAACTTGGTGTCACCGAAGGACTTGTAGTTGCCCATGTTGGAGTAGACGCCCGCAGCATAGACCAGGAACGCCTGAGGGGGGGAGGTGGGCGTCAGAGACCTGGGGAGCACAGTGCCCCCTACCCCAGGGACGTCTCCTCCTGAGATGGGAACAGCAGTACAGGTGAGGCTGGGAAATCTGGATGCGGGACCCAGATCCCAGGAAGCTCTTACTAGGCAGCTTGAGCTGTATGCCCATCCTGTAGACAGGGAAGGTGATTGCTCAGACTGGCCAAGCCAGCCCCATCTGGCCCCAGTTTACTTTCAGAGACCAATTTTCACACCCCATTGTCCAGCCAACTGGTCTTCCCGGCAGTTCCGAAGCACACCACCCAAGCGCTCACCGGCCTTGCTCCTCCTACCCCCGGCACCCCTGCAGCCGCCTGGGGCCTATGTCCCTTAAGGCCCAGTTCTAACGCTGTCTCCTCTCGAAGGCCCCAACCTATCAGGCAGCTGGCCTCGGATGCATCAAACGGTAGAGCTGGACGTCAATCATCCATCTACTCTGGCTTTTGCTGGCCCCAAATCCTGCCTCCCTTCCTCTGTTAACAAGACCTCGATCTTCCTTCCCCCAGCTGCAGGGGCGGGCACGTAGGCCGGCTTGGCCAGTCTGAGAAATCACCTTCCCCGGCTCTAAGGATGGGCCTACTGCTCCAGCTGCCCAGTGAGAGCTCTCCCCCCGCAACTTCCCGTTGGCAAAGAGCCTCCGCCTTACACTAGAGATGGGCAGGCCTGGACCCCTGGAGGATGAGGAGAGAAGGCCAAGCTGGGAGATGAAGACTGCACCCCAAGGTGGCACTAACCCTGACGCCAGTCACGCCTGAAGCCTGCTCGGCCCCTGGGCTTGCAAATTACGTGAGCCAGTAATTCTTTTTCGTTTAAGCCAATTTGAGTTGGCTACTTGCAAACCTAAGATTCACCCTGAAAATAGTAATGCTTGGGTAGCACCTTTCTATTCATAAATGTTTCCACAGAGATTAGCTCTTTCAATGAATAAAACAAGGTCTCAAGATGGGAAATGATTACCTAAAATTCGAAAGAGGTAGAAGAAACAGGCCGGGCGCGGTGGCTCACGCCTGTAATCCTAGCACTCTGGGAGGCCGAGACGGGCGGATTGCTCGAGGTCAAGAGTTCAAAACCAGCCTGAGCAAGAGCGAGACCCCCGTCTCTACTACAACTAGAAAGAAATTAATTGGCCAACTAATATATATAGAAAAATTAGCCAGGCATGGTGGTGCATGCCTGTAGTCCCAGCTACTCGGGAGGCTGAGGCAGGAGGATCGCTTAAGCCCAGGAGTTTGAGGTTGCTGTGAGCTAGGCTGACACCACGGCACTCACTCTTGCCTGGGCAACAAAGCGAGACTCTGTCTCAAAAAAAAAAAAAGAAGAAGAAGAAGAAGAAGAAACAGCACCTCAGCTCGGAGATAAGCAATACAGTCCCTTTATTTCACACACAGACAAAACAGGCTACACTCTCATATGTTCTTGGTGGGAATATAACCTGGCAAAGCTTTTTCAGAAGATGATTTAACGGAATGAGTCAAGGCATAGAACCTGTGACCCAAAGTGTTTTCTACTTCTAGGAAAAGATATTACATACGTGTGCAAGTATGGTCACCATGGCGCCGCTGATAAGAAAAACAAGAACAACCTAAATGCCTAGCAATGGAAGAAAGATTAAGTTGATTACAGCACACACTGCTGTGGAATGCTTCACAGCCGGTAAAAGGAATGAGGTAGATTTATACGTGCCCCATGGAAGTTCTCCAAGACATAGCATTCAGTGAAAAAAGCAAGACACAGGAGAACATGACCTCGTTCAGGTAAAAGAGCAAACAAGGAACTGACACACACTTGTGTGCACGTATTGGCCTGTGACACCCAAAAGGGGACTGGAAGGGCTGGACATATCACATATCATACCGGTCTAAGCAGTTAACTTCCGGGGAGGGCACTGAGAATGAGTTATCTTTGTGTTTTGTTTTGCGGCTTTCCGCATTGCTGCACTGCACTCAGAATTCATGTATCACTTTGCCCCAATACATCCACAGACGAAGAAAAAACAAAAACAAACAAACAAACAAAAAAACAGAGGACAGACAGAACATTCTGCCCAAGGACACACAACCCAGTCAAGAAATGGTCCAGAACTCAGACCTCCTGATTCCTACCCTGAACTCCTTCCTCTGCCTTCTCTGAATCTTCACTGCTGTTTCTGTTGTCATCATCTCAGCAGCCAGCATTTACCTTCGAGCCAGGCTCTGTCCTAAGTGGGTCGTCACACCGCTGACAGGTACAGACAGCCCATGTGCGTGCTTTGCAAATGAGAAGACTGCGGCTCCAGGAGGGGAGGTTCCTGAATTTGTAACCTTTGTTCTAACCCCACACCTACTCCCTTGAAGAGACAGAGACTTTTGTGCCCCCGCATCCTGGTCCCTCCTCACACCCAGAAGCAACTCGGGAAACGTGGGTTGGCCTGAGAGAACTGACCTGATACTCGTCCTCGGTAAGGCCCTCGGCCAGGGCATGCTGGCGCAGCTGGTCGGGGTCCTGGGCGCGGAAGAGGCGGCTGAGCAGAGCGTAGATGTAGGGGGCCTCGGGGGAGGTCTGCAGCAGCACAGCCAGGCCTCCGTACCAGGCGGCCCGGGACAGGTGGTGGGCATACAGGCGCTCTGTGGGTGACAGCAGGCGGAAGGCCTCACGGCAGTCCAGGCTAGATACGCCGATGTCATTGGGCAGGATGTACTGGGTGTCCGCCATGGGCTCTGCTGGGAACCATCACTACCATCATTTACTACACATCAACTGCACTCCGGCTCTGAGCTCTTACAATCTCATTTGATCCTCCCAAAGCCCATGCCGAAGGGAATGCTATTATACCCATTCACCAGATGTGCTCACTGAGACTCAGAGAAGGGTGGTAAGGTGACCCACCCGGGAATTCCAAAATACATTGCCGGGCAATATTTGGAAGTAGCCCCTCAACCTTAAAGACTGAATCCAACTACTTAGTACTACAGATGGGGAAACTGAGGCTCAGAGAGGTTACGAGACTGGCCTAGTCACACGATGGAGGGCTCAGCAGCAGAGACCCTCATCTCTAGACTCTTAGCCCAGGCCCCTCCGTGTGTCCCCTCCTCCTTCTCTGATGTCCTAGCTTCCCTGTTCAGAATTATTCAACACCCCTCATTGTGTTCACAGGGACAAAGTGCCTGGCTGACAGCTGGAAGACCCAGGTTCTAATCCCAACTCCACCAGACTTCTAAAAATCAAGTCAATTGCTTCACTTTTCTGCCGCTTCCTCCTCTATAAAAAGGCGATGACAATAACCCCAACTTCACCAAGTGTGTGCGCTAATTAGACGAGGTCACCCTGGAGGAATGTACCCACAGCAATACATGATCTTCCTTGCACTCCTTTCCTCCCTCACTGCTCCCGGGGTCTGTCCCATTCTCATCCCTCTAACTGCCTTTTCCTGAGCTCTTCATTCTCCTGCCCTCTCCGCGTGCTCGGCCAGGGAAGCCACAGAAGTTCAGAGCTGGAAGAAAACCCATTTTACGGATGGGGAAATTGAGGCTTGGAGAGGCCAAGCAACTTAACCGAAGGTCTTACTGCCCGGTTGGGATTCGAGGGTCTCCCAACCCACGGCATTCTCCACACCCCCCCTCCTGGCTGGGAATGAGTTTCCAGCCTTTCCCCTGACTCCGGAGGCTCTGCCCCAATAGCTCAGTCCCCCGGGTTCTGAAAGGGGTGTTAACTCTTTGCTGCCCGGAGCGCTCCTTGGCCTCGACGCTGGGATCAATTTGGAAGGGGCACTGGAGAGTGGGCAGAAAGGAAATGATTTTGCGCTCAGTCCAGCCTCGCCTTGGTCCCCGGAGATGACACACTGTGACCCCCCCAGACCCGGGCGCCGCGCCTCACCTCCAGCAGCTGCTCTGTTCGCAAACTCACTTCCTGCTTCCGGCTCCCCCATTCATTGGGGCTCTGCGAACCCCGCCCCCACTGGCCAATGGTCTGGCCCCGGGGCCCAGATGGGCGTCGGCTCCAGCCAATAGGCGTGCCGAGGGGAGCCTCTCGTGCCGGCCGGCTCCCGCCCCCAGGCGCTACGGGGTGGCGCGGGGACCGGCCCCGGTGGCCTTGGCCTTTTGTCCACAGGCCGCGCTCGCGCAGGGACCAGCCCCCCCCCCCCCCGTCCCGCGGACGGGGCTCGCTAGGTCCCCGCGCCCGGGGCGTCAGGGACGGAGCACCAGGGATCTCCCCGCAACGCACAGCCCCGACCCCTCTCCCTTTTGGGGTTTCGCCCCAGCGTCCCCTGACCTCAGTTTTCCAGGGGGGACCTGCGGCTCCCGCTCCTCCCTGGACTCGGGGCCCCGGGGGCGGGAACTCGTCGGAGACCGCGACCCGGCTCTCGGTGCCAGGAATCGAGGCTAAAACGCCCCGAGCGCCTCCCTGCAGCGCCGCCGACTCGCCCGGGCCCGGGGCCGGTCCCCTAACGCTCCCGAGCGGGTGTCCTCCGCACAAAGAGGCGCGAGCAGGGAGGGCCGGGCAGTTTCTTGCCTGCCTGGTGCTCGATGGCCGGAAAGCCTCCTGGGGTCCTCTCTTAGTGCGGTCCGGGCCCGGCCTGAGGTCCCGGCCAGACTGGGGCGGAGCCAGGTAGTCTGAGGTCGAATCAGGCCTCCGCCACCTGTCGTGGCTTTACTGGGGGAACCTGGCTAGTAGTTGAATCCAACCCGAGGGATACTGTAGGCTTGTGCGTCGTCGCCTGGGCAGTGCCGCCCCCGTGGCTGCGCGGGGCTGTGCGTTTGGAGGCGCAAGCCCCGCACTGTCCTTGCCACGCGCGTGTCGGCGCGGGCAGCGTCTGCCACCAGACTCCAGTTTCTCCTTCACAGAGGTGCCCGAGGCCCTGCGTGGCGCAACAGTGCCACCAGCTTCGGCTTTGATGGTGACTGTCGCTGTGTGGGGGAGCTCAACAAGTTGGTCTACGACCTTAGGACTGAGTCACCCCTCTTCTTCCCCGTGCCTCGGTTTTCGTCGTCTTTGTAAGGGGCATAAAGTTGACTCGCGCGAAAGTGAAATGCACACACAGGCAGAGGAGGCAGTACTGCCCGCTGCCACCAGGGCGCATCTCGGGCAAGCAAACGATCCGTACTCTTGGGACCTGCGACCAAGCTGCATGCTCGCTCACACTGTCGTGATGACAGCTAATATGGGCCCTCACTGCGGGCCCTTGCTAGCAGCTTGACAGGGAGGATCTCATTCAATTCTTCTAAAAATCCCGAGGGTACCATCATTTTACCCGTTGTACACTTGGGGGAAGAGGCTAAGAGGTTCACTGACTTCCACAAGGCTACACAGCATGTCCTCAGGTGTCCCTGAACTGGGGCCTACCTTATTCAGACGTTCCACCACGCTGTCCCCTCCTCCTGCCCTATACACACACACACACACACACACACACACACGCAAAGCAGTCTCCTCACTGGAGTCACAACCCCGCCAGCCCTTGGCTCTTCCCCATGGGAATGAAAAAGGAGTAGGTGAGGACATCACATTGCCTACTGCCTTACAGGTGCCCTCCACACATTCACAACCCCCTGGTGAGGTAGGGACTGTTATTCCATTTAACAGTTGAGGAAACTGAGGCTCCAATAGCTGGCAAGGGCAGAGCTGGGGCGAGACCCAGGGCCCTCTGACCCCCTCCGCCAACACCTCTGAGTTCTCCCAGCACCGGGCCGGTGCCCTTCGCTTGTCTCTGCTCCCAGAGCCTGAGGCTCCCCCACTGGAAAGGGGATGACCCTGTCTTGTTCCCTACTGGGTCAGAAAAGAGAGCAGCTGGGCAGAGCTGGATTGCTAGTGTTTTGGGGGGCGGGGTGGCTGAAATGCTCCTGCACCACTCCAGCTTCCCCACTCGGCCCTGTTGTAGCAGCACGATGCTCAGAAGCAAGGATCTGCTCACATCGCCCGCAGAGGCGCCCTCTGTCCTCTCAATAAGCCCAGGTCTGGTCTCTTTGGCTCCAGCCAGCTGTGTGGCCTTAGGCAGGTCCCTCCCCAAGGCAATGGCATCTGTCTTCCACTGGGGACAATGCCCAGGTCAGGCCTTTCTCATCTCTAGAACACGTCTACCTATCTTCCAGGTTGCTCTCTGCAGGAATGGTCTGGGGGCAACCCCAGCAACACCCCCAGCTTCGCCCTTGGCTCACAGGGAGAGGTGACCTGTAGCCAGATGACTGGAAGCCCAGTTCAGACTCGGCCCCCATGGCAACCATCCCCACCCCACCCCCATTCCCTTTTTCTGCCCCGTCCAAACTAGGGTCATGGTTGTCAATCATTTTCCTGCCACACCATGCTCTTCCCCTCACCTGGCTGCCCTCCCAACTCCTCCCTTCCTCTGGAGACAATATCATGCAAGACGTGGCTCAGGCCCCAGGTCCTTCCTGTGCCTTCTCTCTCCTCAGAACACCTCTGGCCTGGTTGCCAGCAGGTGCAGGGGTCAGCACGGTGGTCAGCTCCTAGTACAGGCACATGCAGATCCCCTCCCCCCAGACCAGAGGCCCTGCCCAGGGCTGGGCATGGGGCAGGTGGGTATCCACCAATTCAGTCTCCAAAACCCTGTTCGTGTGCAAGGAAAACAGTACAGTGCGTGGGGAGGGGCGGGCTCTGACGCCAGACTGGCAGCCGTGGATTCCAATCCTGGCTTGGCCACTTCCCAGCCGTGTGACTTGAAACACGTGCCTTAATCTCCCTGTAAACACAAATGGCAACACCATCCTCCCTGGGGTCACTGTGAAATTAGTAAGAAAACCTCAGAGAAGCAGAGCCCGGTGCCTGGTGGGTGCTCAGTGAGCGCAGTTATTATTATCATTAGCACAGTGCGGGGCACAAGGTGGGCATTCAGGAACGATAGCCCTTGTGTCACAGCCAACGCTCTGGACCTGCGCATCTCTCTCCTTTGTTGACTCCTGACCGTCCAACATGAGGTTCAGAATCCTCCATCCAGCATCTTCCCAGTTGGCAGGGCCAACGACCTCTTGCTCCAGCCCCTTCCCTGCCCCCTGTGTCCCATGCTCCAGCTGCACTGAATCTGTCCCTCAGTTTCCTGTTTGCTGACCTGTGCAAGCCCTCCCTCTGCCTTGAGCACCCTTCCCATCCTGTGAACCTGGAAGATTCCAAGCGGCCATCGAGGCTGAGCTCCTAAGCCACCTCCTCTGTGAAGCCCCCTGCCCCACCGCCAGTGAGGACTGCCCCACCGGCCCTGACCATTCTCTGATCCTAGTGCACAGGAAGCTGTGCTGTCATTTGGCAACTTTGTCGGTCCTCCACTAGACTGTGAACTCTGCCCCTGGGGAGGGGGGAGAACCTGGTCTGATCGTCCCTGTGTCCCCAGACCCAACTTGGCATAGAGTCCAGCCCATAATGGTTGTCAGCAAATGCCAGTCCCAGCCTGCCATCTACCCAGCGCTGGCTCCGGGGCTGGAGGCACTGCACGCATGCAGGACACGTGGGATTTGGGCGGGCAGCTGAGCAGCGAGGTTTATAGAAGAACCCAGGGCAGCAGCAGGAGGGATGAATATCTGGAACTGGGTTGGCAGGCTCAGGGCACAGCCAGCCTAAGCTGGGGGTCAGGAGTCCTTGGCCCCTTCACCCCCCCAGGGGCACACAGTGTAGGCGGCATGACGTGGGACGGCCCAGGAAGGGCAGGGGCATGGGGCTGGGCTTCCCTCCATCGGCCCAGGGCAGAGCTGGTACTGAAGGCCCCATCAGTATGACGGGGTGACAGGGTAGAGAGATCCCGGGGACCTCCAGACTTGGGGGGAAGGGCACAGCCCATCCAACATGTTCATCTGGCATGGCCACGTGCCAGCAGCTAGTGTCCCACATGCAGAACTCCCTCTGGGCTGCAGGAAGTGGGGTCCTAGGTGGGTAGGTGAGCACAGCAGCAAGGGGGCCCGGGAAGCCTAGTCCAGTGGCCCCTGGAAAATGAGGCGGACACAGCCATGCTCGCCGGTGAGCCAGGCCCCACAAAAGGGGCAGGCAGCGTGGAAAGCGTGGGTGCCATGGGGCAGCGGTGTCTGGGCCCAGTAGCGGGCAGTCTTCTCGGAGCAGACATGGCCACAGGGCGCAAAGGCGTGGCTGGGGGGCCCAGGGTCCAGGCAGAGCCCAGCCTCCTGGCCCAGCCACAAGGGCACATAGGGCCCCACGAGGCGGCAGAGAGGACATTCACGCTCCTGGGGGCCCCGCTCCCGCCGGCAGCCCCAGCCGTGATAGCCGTGGACGTGGCCACAACGGACGTAGACCCAGGGCTGCTGCTTGTCGGGTGCTGTGCGGCCACGGGCCGGGCTGGGGAAGGCCAGGGTGCTGAGCCCCACGGGGCACTGGGGCCTCGCCGCATTTGCCTCCTGCCGCTGGGCCTCCAGCTGCTTCAGCGTGGGTGCCCGCAGCAGCCCGGCTGGCGTGCGCCACAGCAGCGTGGCCCCGCACAGGTCGATGAGGGAGCCGTCCTGCAGCACGTTGGATTCGTTTTCCACCTGCAGAGGCAGCAGAAGGGTCTTACTGCCCAGGAGGCCCCCAGCCAGGCCGCCTGTCCATCCCACTGAGCCTCCCGGGAGAGGGCACCCTGGGCCAGCAGGATGGGCTGGAAGGCCCTGTCGGAGGGCAGCAGTGCTCCCTGGGTCTGGGCTGGCCCTCGCTCCCAACGGGGCACAGGCCTTGGTTTCCTCATCTGTATAATCAGGAGGTCTGGATCAAAACAGGGTTTTTCTAAAATGTTTTCCAAAGTGCCCCCTAAAGGCAGGGGCGGGGAACACTGGGCATGCCGGATACTTGGCCCACAGCAGCTGTCCAGGGACTGTGGTTAAAAGCAAACGCTCTGGAGCTAGGCTGCCGGGTTTGTTTGGGTTCCTGCCTCACAGTTTACTAACTCTGTGTCCCTGGGGGAGCAACCCCACCTCTCTCTGTCTTAGCTTCCTCATCCTCAAGATGGAGGCGTCCCCTAGTTTCTCTTTTTTTTTTTTTCTTTTTTTTTAATTTTTTTAATTTTTTATTTTTTTTATTTTTTTATTTTTTTTTATTAATATTTATTTTTCCCAGTTTCTCAAATGGTTCTCATGAAGATTAAAGGAATCCGTTAATCTTAGCACTTGGAATAGCGCCTGGCATACAGTGGGCGCTCAATGAGTGTATGAAACATTCAGCCGGGCACAGTGGCTCACGCCTGTAATCCTAGCACTCTGGGAGGCCGAGGCGGGCGGATTGCTCGATGTCAGGAGTTCGAAACCAGCCTGAGCAAAAGCGAGACCCCGTCTCTACTATAAATAGTAATAAATTAATTGGCCAACTAATATATATAGAAAAAATTAGCTGGGCATGGTGGCACATGCCTGTAGTCCCAGCTACTCAGGAGGCTGAGGCAGCAGGATTGCTTGAGCCCAGGAGTTTGAGGTTGCTGTGAGCTAGGCTGATGCCAGGGCACTCACTCTAGCCTGGGCAACAAAGTGAGACTGTCTCAAAAAAAAAAAAAAAAAAAAAGAAAAGAAACATTCATGTGTATAGTTTAAAAAAATAACGCTTCCCCAAATCTCCCAGTAGTGTTGATGCTCTAAAAAGATAAGCCACGCTTCTCCCTGAGGTTTTGCAGGATGTGCTTACACCCAGGAAGACCTCTGCATGGCCCCGTTTGAGGAGCATAGCCAGGTGACCTTGGGCAAGCCCCTGCCTCTCTTTAGGGCTCACGCCCAGCTCCTACCCTTAGTTCTCCAATCTGTACCCTGTGGCGCTTCCACTGCCACCTGTGTCAGAGAGACTCTAAGGGCCCTTTCCTGTTGGGAGAGGAGAATAAAGCTAAACCCGTCTAAACGTGACAGACACTCTACGGACTGCTAACACACCAGGCTATAAACTGCTCACACAGGGCCAAGTGTCACCCTCCTAAGAGGGTGTGATTTTTTAAGCTGCCAGCAGTCTCAGAGCCGCTTGGTAGTGCACGGGGTGCTTGCATGTGCTCTACTTCAGTGCTCCCCAGAGAGCCCCAGTGGTACACAGACTACACTTAGGGACACAGGTCTGGTCCTATCTGTAGGACAAGTGGCACGTGCCAAGAACTCTCCGAGCCTGGGATCCCCCAGATGGAGCTTGTTGGGGGTTCCCTTGGGCAGAAGGGCTGGTGATCACTCCTGGCTTGGGCAGGGTGCGGGCAGATTGTAAGGGCCTGGCAAGAACGGGAGTGGGGAACAGAGCAGGCCACCTACCAGCTTGCCCCGCTGCTGGGCTGAGCGGCTGTCCCGCAGGGTGTACACATTCCCGCAGACTGAGATCTCTCGCCAGACGCCTGGAGCAGAGTCCTCCGAGAAGCCACCCGCTGGGTGCATCACCAGCACTCCATTGGTGGTCAGGCCATCCATCA